ACATATATATGTATATATATTACTATGCCATGTAAACTTCAAATACTGTTAGTATCATATCAATATAATAGAGACCAAATAAATTGTATGTTGTCTACTGTGTTTGCAAAGTACTTTCAAGTCCTAATTATCACAATATAGTGTTCTCTTAGAGGTTGACTGCACTACCATTTTCATTTGCAAAATAGAGAAATTGATTTGAACATCTAAAATCAGGTATATTGATATATATCCTATGGTTTGCAGTGTATTTTAGTCATAACATACTTTTCTTTTTGATAACATAGTACTCTTTCATATCTTTCGCATCAAAAAATATGAACCAATCTGAACTACATAGCGAGACCCTGTCTCAAACAAAAGATTTTTTAAGAGTACTGCTATTTTTTCCATTTATTTACCCTACTCCTTCCAGTGTCCCCCCACCCCCGGAAGCGGGGATTGAACTCAAGCCCTCGTGCTTCCCGGGGAAGCACTTACCCACTGAGCCATCTTTCTGGCTCCTCTTCCAGCTTTTTAAAGGATGATCCGTATTATCTTCTGAATTAAACCTAGTAACAAAAAAAGGTTCCAATATATCGTGTACTTTAAGTAAACCTTTCAAGCATATGCTCACAACGCCAGATGCTTGCAGGCCCCACCATTCAGGAGGCTGAGGCAGGTGGATTGCTTGAGCCTAGGAGGTCCAAGCCAGTCTGGGAAATTTAGCAAGGTCTTACCCACTCCCATAAAAGAGCGGGGCGTGCCCTGCATTCTTGTAATCAATCCTGCCTAGTTGGGGGGCGGGGCAGAAGGACCCCCTCCCACCATCTTACATGCTTAGAACTTTGGGCAGTAGCTCGAGAGCGACAAAGAACCTGACCTACACACCCATTGAACAATTCCTTAAGGACTGAATTGACCACGCCTTTTTTCTGCCGCCTACCCCTGACTCCGCCCCGGTCGTGGTTTTTTTTTTTTTTTTCTTTATTCGCTTTTGCTCTGGCACTTTTTCATCCTGGGCGGCCACCGTAGGGGACGGTGGCAAGATGGCAACCTTCGCTTTAGCGCGGGCGGTGAGAGCGGCCTCAGGTCAGTGGAGAGCAGCGTCTTCCATTTATACCTTCACGGGCGGAAAACTTGTGTGGGATGGAGGGAGTGTTTTTAATCTGGAGGTTAACAGGAAAAAAAAGAATCAGTTTGGAGGGCTAGAGGATTGCTTCTAGTTTTGCTTGTGGCTGGGTGGCTGACAGCTCGAACCGGGACCCCCTTTCCGCTTCTGCATGGGCTCCGCCTTTCCCACAGCGATCGAGCGAGAGAGACGGGGTGGGGGGTGACGGAGGCAGGAAGCCGCGCGCCTTTCTGATGCACACATTAGAACCCCTCGCGGCCCTTTACCGTGAGAGTCATTTAATTTCTCTAATTGAGTTTTAGATTCTGCAGCCGTAAAATAGGTACAATACCGCCTAGCTAGGGATTAAATCAGCTCAGAGGCGAAAGTGGCTCTGCAGCTGCCTGGGACACAGTAAGCTTGAGAGTGGTGGCTAATTTGTAACTACAGCCTTTAGTAAAAGGGAATATCAGGGTTCTTAATTGGGAGAAGGTACAGGGGTGAAAGCAGGCCTTGTTTCCAAAGTTAAAAAAAAAAAAGTTTAAAACATAGAATGTGGCAGGATGATCAATAAAGTATTTTAACATAAAAAGTATCTGGAAGGAAAAAAGGCAACCATATAATTCTTCCAAGTGTTAGAGCTTTTATATGTGAGGTATTTTTTGTGTGCACGAAACATAATAACTTATAAAAAATCATAAGGTGTGTAAATGGTTTCATATACTGTATATGACTGGAAAGCAAAACTGTGTAATTAAAACCCAGGCCAAGACAAGCCCGTTTTCCATTCCTGTACATCGTCCCAGGTCAAAACTCCCAACTTCCCCCAAATGTGATAATCCTATAATTCTCCATTCTGATAGACAACTGGTTGTATCCGGTTTGCGGGTCATTATGTACAAGGCTGATTGACATTGAGCCCTGTCACATGAATACTAGAGTGTTTCTAAGGAGTGTGTAAAGTGCAGAACCAACTTTAGTTTTAGAATTGCTGCGTCAGAGAGAGGGTATATATTCATTATTGCATCAGACTTGGGAGATTTTGTCAATTTGACGAGTATGTAGTAGTATCTCATTCAGCTTTAAATATGTTTATTTTTTTCTTATTATTTTTTAGCGTTTCTCTGACTAGTAATGAGTTTTAGCACATTTACACATATGGATTGACATTTTTGAGATTCTTTTCAGTACTAGGAGTTGAACCCAGGGCTTTTGCCTGAAGCTATGTCCTCAGCCCCCCCCCCCCCCCCGCGGAACTGGGGATTGAACACAGGCCCTTGCTCTTGCCAGGCAAGCACTTATTCTACTGAGCCATCTTCCTGGCCCCCCTTTTTTATTTTTGAGACAGTCTTGATAAATTGCCCAGGCTGAGCTCACACTTGGAATCTTCCTGCCTCAGTCTCCCAGAGTGCTAGGATTACAGGTGTGCACCACCACACCTACTTTTTAATTTTTTTTTTTTTTAACCTAACCAGTGATTGAACTCAGGCCCTTGCGCTTGCCAGGGAAGTGCTTATTCTACTGAGCCATCTCCCTGGCCCCTGAATTTCTTTTATGAAATATCCACATAAATATTTTGCTTATTTTTCTTTTGGGTTTTATTTTACAGTTCCTTATAAATTCCAGGTATGAACAACGTTTTTGTTCAAGCAAGCCCATTATCTTCTCCCACCCTAGCCTGTCTTCTGGACTTTATTTGGAGTGCCTTTGGTTTTGTTTGTTTTGTTTTGCTTGAAATAAGGCTATGTAGTTCAGACCTGCCTTGAACCACAGTGTAGACCAGACTGGCCTCACACGCTCTGTCCTGCCTCAGCTTCCTGAGTGCTGGAATTACAGGAGTATGCCACCATAACTGGCAGAAGTCTTTTGATGAAAATCAATTTTTATTTTTATCTGTTCATAATCATTGCATTTCTTAAATAGGTGACATAAAAATCATCAACTTACTATATTTGGATGCCATTGAACACATTTTTTAAAAGATGTAATAACTTTTGTTGATGGCTTATTTTTAAATGTTGGTGTTTAAACATATTATAAATTATTTCTTTTTTTGGCAGTTTAAACTATTTAATATTTTAAACTTTTGTTCTTGTTGTTAGTGCCAGGGACAGAGCTCAGGGCCTTAGAGTGCTACTCCTGCTCTTGACCTAACATTTTAGATTTTATGCAAGACTTTAAAAAAAATTTTTTTTTCCCCTGTATTTAGACAGTCTCCAGAGTCTCCCTACATAGATCAGACTCATAGTGATTCTCCTGTTTTCAGCCTCCCAAGAGCTGGGCTTATAGGCATATGCCACCAGGCCCAGTCTTATGCAAGAATTTGAGAAAGAATATACTGTATAATTTTTTAAGATTCTTTTAGGGGCTAGAGGATTAAAAAGCTTGTGGAGCCGTGGTCTGGATCCTCTCAGGTTTATCCCACCCCCACTCAGTGCAGCCCTCCTCTCCTCTTCCAGTGATTTACTCCATGCAGAGCTTTTGGTAATTCCTTCGCCTTCAGGCCTTCTATTCCTTCTGCCTCCTCTTATTCTTTCAAAGCTGGCTTGCTGTCGCTCCTTTTGCAAAAACATCTGTTCTCCATAACAAGAATGGTTTAGTGATTGCCTGTCTGTGTGAAATGCCCCAACAGGAAGAGAAGTAAAGAAACAGTTGCTTCCCATTATTCACAGTCTTAGACCATGCAAGCTTTGACAGACTAAAGCACATGGTCCGAAGACCAGGTAGGTAAAGGTGGCCGAGTGATCTCCCATGAACTGCTGCTGTCAAGTCAGGTTCATCTTTCCTGTTGGTCAAATCATTTTTTGTTGATTCAGCTTGCTTTTTTTCTTTTTTCTTTTGGTAACAGAGTCTTTCTATGCAGTTCAGGCTGACCTTGAACTGTTGCCTCAGCCTCTTGAGTGCTGTGTTTACAGCTACGCACCACCATGCCCAGCATAGTTTTGTGTGTGTGTGTGTGTGTGTGTGTGTGCGCATGCACGCACACACACACGCACACACGCAGATTAATAAACATGCCTCAAACAGATTTAGAGCCTTCATAAAAATTGGGAACAAAACAAGAGGAGAGGTTAGTAAGGTGAATAGCAAGCAACTAATTTGGGGATAGTTTCTGGCCAATGTCCAATTCTTTATTTCTTTAGAAAATAATGAGACTTTTTTTTTAAAAAAGATGCCTTCCTAAACTCAGGTTATAGCATGGCTAGGACATTCCAAAATTTCCTGTGGCTTTAGTGGTTGTACAAAAAAAATGAAACAGAACCAAGCATGGTGGTACAAGCCTGTAGTCCCAGCTATTGAAGAGGCTGAGGCAAGAGGATGGCTTGAACATGGGACTTTGGGGTCAATCTCAAGCTGAGGCAATACAGATTCCCATTTCTAGGAAAAGAGGGGAAGGAGGTTAATTCAGAGAAGGAAATTCCTTTTTGTGTTGCCCCACCTTGTGTCCTAGTGCCTCTTCCTGGGCATCTCTGAAATAGGCAAGCTGTGTACAGCCTCTGTCCCCTGCCCCACACATGCACCAGTCAGCCCTAGACCAGTGACCATGAACTTGTTAGAGCTTTCGGTGATAACAAACAGCCTCTGTGACACGCATGCTATAGGTTCGCCACTGCTGCCCAAGACCTTTGCTAATGTTGCTCCTGCTTGCCAGTATGTGTTCCTCCTCCTCCTCCTCCTCCTCCTCCTCCTCCTCCTCCTCCCCCCCCCCCGGGCCTGTTCTTATTCACAAAGAACACGCATGCCTCTTCTGTTTTATTCATGTATCCTCCTCTTGCTCCTCGGTTGTCTTTCCAGGAAGGGGCATGTGCTTTCAGGTGTCTGACCTGCCACTGCCCTGAGTGTAAGATCTGGGGGTGGGAATTGCTTTATACCTGCATACCTTGTTCCCTAGTACTGGATATAGAGCCAGGATATGTCAGACTGCATTCTGATGATAGCTGTATAATCTCTAAATGTCTTAAAAGTCACTGAATTGCATCATGTAACATGGATAATTTCATGTTATGTAAGCTATACCTCAATAAAGTTGGTGGAAAGCTCCACAGGTAAATCTGCTACTCAGAACATTTTAATTATATTTAATACTTGGTTGCTTTGATACATCCATTTTATTTTTTTTTTATTTCTTTTTTGTGTGTGGTACCAGGGATACATTAATTTTAAATGCCAGTGCTTATTTTGGAATATCATCAATATGTGTTTCTCTATATCTTACAGGAATCTTACGGCCCATGAATATTTTGGCATCTTCAGCCTATCAGAACGGTGCCAAGAATGTCTGTCTTAATTCTGTACAGTCCACTGCACATTTTAGTCTTACTGGCACACCAGTTGTTTCTTCTGCTCGACCTGTCACATCTGTCAGAAATCTGACATGTGGATATACTGCAACAATCCTTAATAGGTAGAGTTTATTTTAGATTTTTTTTTTTTTTTTCGTACCAGAACCAAACTCAAGACCTTGCCCTTGCCAGGCAGATGCTCGTGCTCTCACGCTAACTCCCCGGCCCAGGGTTTACTTTAATAAACATGATGTTTAGATAAAATTTTAAAATATTCACACCTGGGCTAAGGGTATAGCTCAGTGGTAGAGCACTTGCCTAACATTCATGAGGATGTGCATTTGATCCTCAGCTTTGAAATAGACAAATAGAATAAAATAAAATAGAATAGGATAGATAAAATACTCATGCCAAGTGTGGTAGTTCACACCTATAATCCTTGGGAGGGTGAGGCAAGAGCTTTCCAAATTTAAAGAAATTCTGGGCTATATAGCAAGTTGAAGGCCAGCCTGGATACTTAGGAATAGCCTGTCTCAGAAAACTATAAATAAGTAAATAAAATTATTCACTCCTGTGAGACAAGACACCTGAGAAGGTGGTACTATTCTTTGCCTACCTGGCAGGTTATACAGCAGTAGCGTGCCTGCGGTGGTGCTGCCTAAGTGGGAAAATAAGATTGACACCCATGAACCGGGATGCCAGTAGCAGAAACTGCCGAACAGAGCTTTGCTCTTTTTTTTTGTTGTTGTTCTTTTTTTCTTCTTTTCCTTTTGCATTACTGGGTGTGGAACACAGGGCATTCTGCCTGCTAGGCAAGAGCTCTGTCACTGGGCTATACCCCCAGCCCCAGAGTACTTGTGACAGTGTGTATGTAGTTTCCTGGAGGGAAGCTATCAAGCAAGGTAGAGAGAGGAGCGGATGCTCAGCTGAGCAGACTGGGCTGTGAGTGGTCTCTGAGCAGGCAGCAAATGCTCAGGAAGCACCCCTGGGTGCCCAACACTGTACTTACAGAAAGGACACAAAGATAGGAAATCAGGTGATTAAAACAGAGTAGGATAAATTCATCAGGATGGGGTTGGGTTTTGTTTGGTTATTTATATTTTGGTGCTGGGCATTGAACCCAGATTTTGTACACATTTTTTATTTTTTATTTGTTTGCTTTTTGGTACTGGAGATTGAACTCAGGACCTTGCACTTACCAGGCAGGTGTTTATGCTGCTGAGCTATGTCCCCAGCCCTTTGTACACATTTGAACACTGTACCCCTGGACTAGAGCACCAGCAGGGATGGATTCGAGAGGACCTGTGGTTGATAGCAGCTGCCGTTCTTACTTATGCATAATGTATTAGAATGTTTGAAATAATATTATATGTTAAAAGTTACCTCCATTCCAGTGGAGCAGCCTTACTCATTTCTAAGCACTGTGTAGTGGGCCTTATTCTTTAATCAGCCCGACTGCTGGTTAATTTTATGATATATTTCAGAGTGGCTCCCTCACTTCCCAACATCCTGACAGTGCCAGTCAGAACTCTAACATACTGCAGCACACAAAAAGGCAAGAGAAAGACTGTGAAAGCTGTTATCTATCGGTTTCTTCGACTTCATTCTGGCCTTTGGCTAAGGAGAAGGGTGAGTTGTTTTTTTGTTTTGTTTTGTTTTTTTGAGCCAGGGTCTTGCTCTGGAGTTCAGGCTGGTCTTGCCCTTACTTTGTAGCCCAGGCTCGTCTTCAACTCATAATGATCCTCCTGCCTCACTCTCCTGAGTGCTGGGATTACATGTGTGCATCACCGTGCCCAGCCTAGAAGGGTGAGGTTTCATAGTTATCTCACTGAAAAAGCACTATAAGTAGAGATTAAAATGCAGCAGGAGCTAGGCAGGGTGGCTTAAGTTTGAAATCCTGTCTATTCAGGAGGCTGAGGCGGGAGGATTGCAAATTCAAGGCCAGCCTGGGCAACTGAGTGACACTGTGTGTCAAAAATAAAAAGGGTGGGAGCTATAGCTCAACAGTAGTGCTTCCTTAGCATGTGTAAGGCCCTGAGTTTAATACCCAGTACCCAGTAGCTTTTTAAAATATAAAAATAAAAATAAGGAAAAGACAGTGAAAAATAAGGAATAGACAGTGAGCCTATTCCTGGTATGTCTTCCCTTCCTCTTACCAGTAAAGTAGCTCTCATAGCTATGCATAATTATCAGCCTGACAGGCACTTCTTTGTGTCAGTGACTCTATATTCAAAAAGCATATAAGCTGGGCATACTTGCCTGTAGGCCCAGCACACTTAGAGGCTGAGGCAGGAGGATTGGCTTAGCTGGGCAACTTAATGAAACCCTGCCTGAAAAAACAAAGAAGGTCTGGGATATAGCTTGATGGTAGGGGATCCCTGAGTTCAGCCTCCTGTTTTGCCAGGAAAAAAAAAATCCTGTAAGCATTCATAACACAAAATACTACAGTAGTAGAAGTCGTTGCTCTAAGATAGATTCACTCACTTTTTGAAAGATTAAAAGGATTAATGTCTGTCATATAAACTATCCTGATTTCCCCATTGGAATGGCACTGTGTTGCTTCCTATACCAGTCAACATCAGCTGAACTGTAGTTGTAATTGCTGCATTTTGTAAATTTTGGACCATTAGAAATATGTCTTTCCCCTTTGGTATGATAACATGTTTCCCAGTCCTTGTACTGTCCTAGATAAAAAGGGCAGTTTACTTTGCCATCTTTTCCATGTCCCTTTCCTAGGGCTCCAGAACACTCGCTCATGTGACCCTACAGGACTTGATCACTCCCTCAGTCGTTACTCCTTGCCCCAGTTTAGCGCCCCAAAAGTGTACTGCATGCAAAACGACTTCCTTAATTGACATCTGATTTTAAGACAAAATAAAAAATGACTAATTTACAGTAATGTAGAAAAACCCAAAGTACTGTATTTTCCATGGCATAGTTTCACCCAAATGTCCTTACTGTTTTATTTATTCCCACCTTCCCTTTTTGAACCTAGAAATTGTCTAAAACCTTTCCAGCATTTTCACAGTGTCTCCATTCCACAGAGTAATCTTGGTCTTGGGCAGCAGATTAGGGGCCTATAAGTTAGATCCACAGGACCCTAGTTTGGCGATTTGGCTAGAGGTGAAGAGCTGTGATTTGTCCACTTGTGATGTAATGAGTCATTGACTGGAAAGGAACCAAGGGCTCTTACCAATAACCCAGCTTCTATTCTTACTTCCCCCTAACTTGCTGTGTGATTTTTCACCAAGCTTTCACTGCGGTGCCACCTCAAGTCTTCTAGTTTTAACACACTGTGATTATTATTTTATTTTTTTGAAACAGGGTCTTGCTCTGTAGGCTGGGCTTGAACTTACTCTGTAGCCCAAGCTGGCCTCAACCTCACAGCGATCCTCTGCCTCAGCCTCCTGAGGGCTGGGATTATCGGTGTACACCACCACGCCTGGCTGATTCTAGTTTTTGTATTTCATTTTTTTGTCAAAATAAATTCCTGGGGCTGGAGAGATGGCTCAGTGGTCTAAAGCACCTACTTGAATCAAGCTTGGCGAAGCACAGGGACCACGGTTCGATCCCCAGCACCACATGCCAGCCAGCCCCGCCCCCTGGTGGGCTGAGCTGGCCACACACACACACAATAAATAAATGTAATAAATAAAAATAAATAAATATTAAATAAATAAATAAATAAATTCCTCAAAATTCATAGGTGGTATATATGGAAGTTCTGGGTTCATTAAATGGATTAACTCTTCCTTCACCACTCTGAATAGTAGTTTTACTATACTCATTAATCCTTAGAAAGTATCTCCTACAAATACGAGTCTTTAGTGTGTGGAAAGAATAAATGAAGCCATATATTCAAAAACTGTACTTCAGCCCTTATAACACCCAGTTACTTATTAAGAAATGAATATTACCACCCTCACTGGTGCCTCCTTGCCTGCCCTCCACGTTAGGAGAGAAATAAAACGTACAGCTGGGTAGTAATAGTGCTGTGGAAGATAGCTGAAGAGGTAAGGCATGTATAATTAGATATTGTAATAATATTATCTTTACTTCACTAACTACACAGATGTACTTGGCTCTATTTTCCAGAATATTAAATTATCTACTAGTATTTCTTTTTTAAACTACAAGTGCTTTTTCAACCCCCTCCTCATTAAGATGTTTCCGCACTTGTTTTTGCTCCCACCAAGCCTGTAAACTGTGAGTTATAATAATCATCTGTTGTTTCCTTCATAATATAATGTTTTAAATGTCTGTAATATTATTTCAGTCAGGTTATAAGAAAAAATTATGGAAAAAGACAGCTGCAAGAAAAAAACGCTTGAGGGAAATTGTGTTCTGCAATAAAACTCAGAGTAAACTCTTGGATAAAATGACGACGTCCTTCTGGAAGAGGAGAAACTGGTATGTGGACGACCCATATCAGAAGTATCACGATCGAACAAACCTCAAAGTATAGATCAGAAAATTTTAAATGTTATTGAATCTGTATTCTTGTGTACATGATGGCTTTGCAAAAATGACTAGGTGTAAAACTTAAATTTTACTAGCTGATATGTGAACATACAGATCTAATGTTCAATTTATGAAAACACCGACTCATTGGATTAAACATTCCCAGATTTGGTTAAGGAACTACAAGTTTAAAGCTGTGTATTATTTTTAACCAACTGGTTCCAACTAGGTTTGTTTAGTGCACAAAATCTCCAGTGAGGAGAAACTTGAAGATTTCGGCTAGCTGACAGGTGTGACCCTGTAGGATTAAGGATGCATGCCTGGGAACTCAGGACCCGCCTCCCCAGCTCTCAGCCGGAGCTGACCCCAGGCTCAGAGAGACAGACCAGGTGGTGCTCCTCAGCAAGCGATCACGGGTCTGTAGGCTCAGCTTCTGCCTCGCCTGTGACTCCATTCTCTTCCATCATCAACTCTGTTCTGCTCACCAGCCTCTCCAGGTCACAGCTTTTGTTCACATAGAGTTCTGTTTCATCATTACAGATTCGGCTTGCACCTTTCAGGTTCTTTTCTCCTGCCTGGAAGTGGCAGGAGTCTAGCTGGGCCAGGTTCCATTTTACTCCAGGTGCCACCATCCAGTGTAGGCATTGGCTGTGCTTAGGTTGGGAGCCCACCCTGGCCCACTTTAACAGGTTTGTGTGCAGCAGAAAATAGTTCTGCGAATAGTTGTGCTTAGAGGTGACAACAGGTAGCAACATTTAGCATATAGGATACTACACTCACTGTGTCATGACAGTTCTCATTAGCTAATTAGAGGACTTTTTTTCTTAATATATATATAAGAGTAAATGATGAAGCTCAGTATACCCTTCATTGAAACAGAAGGGCTAAGTGAAAGACAATATATTTCTTAAATCCTAGCATATTCACTTGAGATCTCATATTTTCATTTGTAAGGACAGACTTTTCCAAATTTTCTATAAGTGCATTGTAGAAACTAAAAGGAAAAAAATAATTTCAATTATTTGCAAAATGATGCAAGAGTTCACTGTTTATGTGAAGAGCGGCAGTAATGCTTATAGTCAAAGCAGTGTTCTCAGCTCTTGCATCAGGATCATCTAAGAAAGCAGCAGTACTTTGCCTATTGAAAACCATTGTTAAACAGAACTTTTTTTTGGTTTGTTTTGTAGTTTTAGGGAAGGGTTTACAGGGTGTTCAGGGTCTCACTACTAGATTGGACCTGTAGTGGTCTGCCTGTTTACAGCTTCCCAAGAACTGGGATTACATACACGCGCCACCACGCCCAGTCTCAATTGCTGTCTCAGCATGCCAGCACGGCAGGGGTGGGGCCAGCATGGCACGTGCAGGGATCGAGCCTCCAGCCCTTGCGCCTGCTTGCAGGCGCTTTAATCCACTGAGCTATTTGGCCGGCACTAGAACTTTGGATTTCTATTTAAGTAGTTGGTGTGAAGTTCTTCTGTTATTAATAGAATAAGATAACCAAGTTGGAATTCTGTGGGAATTCCTTGAAAGCAATGTGTGTTAAGTGGAAAAGTGGTATCAATAGAATGTTCTAAAACCAGAAAGCAAGTACATGTCTGTTACTGACATGACCAGTTAATACAGAATGGGCATTTGATTTGAGATGAGGTAGGAGCCTGGCATGTGGAATGGCATTCTGTTTTGAGGAGTTCCCTTCACACTTCTGGGAAGGCAGAAGCCACCACTTCTAAGGCTCTCCTGCATTTCTCCTCAGCTGCCTGGCTCTTCCATGGCGCTTCTGGTGGTGGGATGCATTCATGTCTGCAGCGGTTGAAGAGGAGGACACTTTCCCACAGGGTCTCTCATACAAGGGCCTCAGAGCACCGTGGTTTCTCTTCTAGGCCAGGGACAAAAAGGGCAGAGATGTGAGCTGGCAACCAGGGCCTTGGAATCCAGAGATGGGCTGATGGACGTGCTTCTGAGAGGAAGGGAACTTTCATGCATATACATTTCTGTTCTGTGGGTAGGAGGGCTTGACCATAAGATAGCTTTCATTAAGTTAAAAGAGTACCTAAATGATGTTCAAGGGCCAGGGAGATAGCCCAGTAGAATATGCGCTTGCCTGGCAAGCACAAGGTCCTGAGTTCAATCCCTGGTACCACAAAAACAACATCTTAAATGATGTTCAAGTGTATGTATAATTTGGAAAGTAGATGGATAGCTTATGCAAGTACATGATTTATCAAATAACTATCTCAGCTTATCTATAAACTAGGCTTATATCTCCAAAACACTAAACCTTATACTAACCTTGCAAAGAAGATATATTTATACCTAATTTAAATTACCCCAAAGTATAGCTACTACATCACAAAATTCCAGTCTCTTTGGAAGCCTATGTATTTCCTTCAGTATTCTAACATGAAAATAATACATCGAAGTCAACAAGTGGCTGGAATCTAGCGCTATAGTTTTGTCATTTTATTAGTACATGCTTGTAGCACACGATGATCACACTCACTGGGGCCCTGGCACCTGCGCATGACACATCTTCATAGCTTCTCATCCCCTGCTGTAGCACTGTAGGTACTAAGTACCTCAGCTCACTGCACCAGTTCAGCTTTTCCACTAACTTAGCGTTCCTGGTATTTGCTGACTCAGCTGTATTAATTACCGCTCTGTTGACATTGTGCCTGGCTCAGTAAATTAAAAAAATGCATTTCCAGCTTTTTCCATCCTTCCTGCTTTCTGTCCTCTAACTCTGCTTCTTTTCTGCTGCTGTGTTACTTTACAGTCCATGTATCAAAAATATAGAATATATGAGCAGGAAAACAAAGAAAATATGTTCAGTTTTGATGCTTCTAAGTCTTTGTGCCCCTCATTCCCCACAAAACGCAAGTGTACCTCTCCTTGTTTTTTGTAGTTCAGGCTAGCCGTGAACTCACTGTGTAGCTCAGGCTGACCTCCAACCCATGGCAGTCCTCCTGCCTCACCCTTCTGAATGCTGGATCACAGACGTGCACTATCACACCTGTCTCTTATATTTAAAGGCAAGGTCTACAGTAGGGTTAAGGGAAGGGCATTCCTGCCACCTACAGTGGCCCTGCCTCCCATTTATTCTTTGCAGTAAGCATGGGGGTGAGTTTTACGAGTTAACCTTTGAGAGCTCAACTTCTAATTCTTGCCCTTTTTTATTTAGTTTTCTGTCTTTCTGTCTGTCTGTCTGTCTGTCTGTCTGTCTTTCTTGTTTCTTTTTCTTTCAAAATTTTTAGCATCTCTCACTAACTTGCCCAGGCAGGACTTAAACCTGCAGACCACCTGTGTCAGCCTCCCTAAAATCCTGGAATTATAACTATGGGCCGCAATGCCAGCTTCCTTTTACTTTTTTTTTTTTTTTTTTTTTTTTTCTTTTGAGACAGGCTCTTGCTAAATTTCCTGTGACGGGCTCAAACTTAACAATCCTCCTGCCTCAGTCTCCCAGAGTTCTGGTTTACAGGAGTGTACCACCATACCTAGCTCCTACACTTCTGAAAAAGTATTTTCTTTTTCCTTATGAGTCCAACATTACAAAAGATATTCTTTAAAAGAAAAATGTTAAGACTTTATTCAAGATGTATATCAGGCATTATAACAAAACAGCAGAACTTCAGCCTTTGGAATACTGCAATTTTACATCCCTTCAACACACAGTCCAATATACTAGTTAATTACAGATCGCTCTATAGACTTCAGAAACAACTAGAGGAAATGTGCACAGTCACGATCAAGAACACCAGCTCCTGGAGTGTACACTGTTAAAGGAGGCCCATCCTTTGCCATTTCAAATACTGTGCGAGGTGAAGAACTGGGAAGGTGCAACAATGGCCGTGGTTGACACGCACTCTTAGCACAAACGCATGGACGGCTACCACAGGGGACACACATGTCAAAGGCCAGTGCAGTAAGCAAACCATTCACACAGAGCCAGGAGGGCTTACAACTGAATGCTCCAGCTGATAAGCACGAGACCACACCTCACCTCGCGAGAAGTGGAACAGGTACTCAGTGGCAAGTAACTAAAAGCTCTGACGTGGAAAAAGCACAGACTTTTGAGCTAGCATTTTGTAAACAGCCTGTGTCTGTAAGTGAGCAAATTTCTTTAAAAAATCAGTTATATCCTCTAGACATAACACCACACCACCATGTGTACACTAATAATCATTCACATTTTATGTCTGTCCATACACAGATGTCTGTCCATACACAGATATACAGCTTGTTGGATAAGTAAACACATTTTGCCAGAAATTTGACAGCTGCTTTCAGTTGTACAGTGAATGTCTTCAAGAGAGAAACCAACCCCCTGGGCAACACTTGAATGAAAAAGTTACATTAAGACAGCAGTTTGAATATCTTATATTTTTAAATCTTAATACAGCATATCTGAGAATAGAGTGCTTCAAACTGTTGCTTTTGGCATAGTTGAGTGCAAACTTAATTCACCTGGACTTGTTACTACTTTCCATTGTGACATAGTAAAAATACAGGAATTTGAAATCTGTTAAGGGCATTTATTATTTTGGCAAAACAAAAGCATACTAAAAGCTGCTTCTCTTAAAGCTTTTTTGCACTTACTTCTGACAGTTGTGGGGATGCCTCAACTAATAGGTAAATACATTTCACGGAGCGTATTTTCCCTTTTCTGGAACTATTCAGTGAGCTTGAAGAGAACAGGCTTTCTGTCTTTTCTAACAGGATAGATATCGGTGCTGTTCATAGACAGTGAACAAACAGCCTCTAATTGCCCACTCAGTTTGCTTTTATATCTGTTTTCCTAAATTCTTTTGTAAATTACCTCTGAAGGTAATTTCCTCTGAAGGAAGTGTGGGAGGAAGGGGTTGGGATTTTAGTATGTTTATCTGGCGACAATCAACTTCAACTAAACCCTCTGTAAGGTGGCTAAGATCCAGCCAGTGTGTCATCTGCAAAGGCCACCAATGCATATTCACTTAGCTCTGTAACGGAAACAGTTTCAATTGGACCTGCCTACTTCTAGTCGGTGGACAGCGAGTCCTAAGTGGTGTATAACACTACTTCTCTAGTCTGTGGGACATATCTACGAACAAACACAATCCGAATATGAGTACCTAGGTTGTGACCACTGCATGCAGTACACGGAAGAAAACACCAACTCTCAGCACAAATACACTAGTGCTACATTTTGGCTCAGCTCTCAGAGGGGAGGGCAGCTACCTCGGCCAGAAATTCATCTAAATCAGATTCTTGTTCTTAAATAAAATCCTCAATCCTAGCAGGGGGTCCCCTCCGTGCTTTCTTCCTCTACTAAGCAATCCTGGCTGACAGAAAATATCTGAAGACTAAGTGTCCATGAGCATGTGTCCATTCCCATGTACGCACCTCCCTGGACAGGAGGGGGTTAGAAGGTGTGAGCCACAGCTCCATCCCAAAGATCTCAACCTCTACAACCTTCCAGAACCCACCCTTTGGGTTCCACATGTGTCTTGTATGTTTCAGAACATACTCGAAACAAAGCATAGTTCTAGTCTTTTGTGGGGGTGTTTTGTTTCTTTTTGTTTAGTGTTCTCTGAAACAAGGTGCTCAGACTTCAGGCTTCTCAACCTGAGGAAATTAGCCGCCGCACCAGCCACTCTGAAGAAGGTCATGTGGCAAGACTTGAAACGCTAAAGATTCTTCTAACAGCTCTGAGTCTCTGTCCTCAAGAAGTTTTGTCAAGGGTGAGCCACCTGCCTGAGGCAGGGTTAAGGCCTGTGGCAGGGCTCAGAAGGAGGAGGTGAACTTCCCATGCTTTCGAGTGTTGCTCACACTCATCGCTGATGTTAAATGTCTCTACTCCTGACTTCTCTGATCTGTTGACTACTCAACCATTAGAAAAATACAGACACCATCTCCCTGCGGGAAAACAGATACTTTACTGGAGCTGGACTCGGAAGCTTTATAAGCACATTGGAGACATTGTTTAGAATCAGTTTTTTTTCATATATATATATATTGTTTTTGCAGTTTTCTCACTTAGAACCTCTGGCAGCCCTTGCAAGTTCATTATATTAAGCCAAAAGCCATAAATATGTACATCATAGTCCAAAGTATTAGTACCAAAACCAAAAAATGCTTTTAAAAAAATTGGTTTGCATTTACAGGACTAAAAACTAAGTATGCAACAGATAGATTACAAATGTACATGTCAGCAGCAAAGGGGTGATTTCCACTTCTAAAAACAATGCTGTCTGTAATGACGATCCGATCACGGAACATCACTAACCTCAGAAGACTCCAAGATCACTCCACCCCGACCTTTCCCTTCAGCCTCTCCCCAGCAAAATAAAGAGAAGGGGGAAACAAATTCCTACAGGTGGAGGAGGGGAGCGAAAAAAGGCCATGTCTGTGAGGCTGCACACTCAAAGCACACCCAGCCTGCGGATTGCTGTTCTTAGTCACTAGCTCTTTAAGGCAGAGGAGGAACATTCTGTGGATCCGGTGCTGTTGGCTCGTCTCACTCATGTGGTTTCAGCGGCTGAAGATGAGGTACTTTTCTTCCGGAAGCGAGATCGAAGGATTCTAGGCGGTGCCTGGTAGAAAAAAAGAGGGGAAAAAGGGCACCCATGAATGTGGCCTCTCAAGGACAGCCCCTGGGGAAGGGCTCATCCAGTGTGGTGACACGCAGCTCCTTTGGCCAGGTGCGTGTGGGTGACATGGTAGGGGGAGCCGGGGCTCCCTTTGAGTCTCCACAGCACCTCGGAAGCTGAGCCCACTGAAAAAGGCCACCGCCACCTCTGCCTGCCTTGAGTTCTGCTAAGTCCCCAGGTCTCACAAGGGAAGGGTGTCAGAATGACACATCTGTCTTGTTTCCACCGGGGAAGCAAGTGATCTTGCATGACTCAGAGAGGAGAACCTGCCATCTCTTCCTTCCTGGCCTTTGTTGTTTCCTTTGGGAACTGGCCTCATACTTCTTGGGTTGTGCTTCAACTTCCAGTGCCCATTCAGTATGTTGAACCCTTTGAAGCACAATGAACGACACCAGAAAGGCCAGTACCACCTTTAGGTATCAAGGGCTCCACCTCCCCTCCCCCATAAATGACTCTAGGCACCCCTCCTTCCATGGGGTACCCAAATCGCAGGATTGCTGACAGGTCATAGGGGAACCTCACATGACACTCTGAGGGGTTCACACACATAGCCTGTACCTGTCCTCTGTGCTATCCCTGTCTTTTTTTTTTTTTTTTTTTCTTTCTTTCTTTCTTTCTTTATTTATTTTTTTTTGGCGGAACTGGGGATTGAATTCAGGCCTTGCGCTTGCCAGGGAAATACTTATTCCACTGAGCCATCTCCCCGGCCCCCTGTTTGTCTTTAGAGAGAACTTTCTCCACACCATCCTCACACTGCTGTTCCTTCTGACTGGGCGCTCTTTCCTCCCTCGCATCTTGCATGTCAGTCCCTCTGAGCACCCAGCTAACAATGGCTTCTGCACAGGACTCCCTGAACCACTGCCCAACCACACTTAAGTGAGGCTTCTGCCCCAGTCTTGTCCCTGGGCAGCATTTTGTACATGCCACATAGTACCTTTGCACCCAGGTGTGTGTGTGTGGTGCGTGCATGTGATGGGGGGGGTCCTTTGCTCACGGTCTCCCCACCAGACTGTGTGCTGACTTCCCACTGAACTTCCTGAGGGCAGGCCTGTGTCTCACCCACCAGCATCTCCCAGTGATGGTGGGAAACGCCAGCCAGGTGCATAAAGGGAGGGAAGGAAGCCAGGCACAGTGGCACGTGCCTGTAACCCCAGCATCCAAGAAGCTCAGGCAGGAAATTCCCCACTCAGTGAGACTCTGTCTCAAAAAGTGGCTAGCAATAGCTCAGTGTGGAAGCTCTCAGCTCAATCCCCAGTACTGCAAAGAGCAAAAGTGAAATAATTATTTTTAAAAATGGAAGGAGTGAATGAATGAGAGAACATGCTCAGGCCCTGGTACCAGGTCTGCAGGTGCAGCCTCACCATGAGGCCATGTTTACCAGCCACGTCTGAACACAGACCAGAAGCAGTGGCAGTGTGACCCACCTTTTTAGTAACCTGCGCCTTAGCAGTGATAGAAAACAGGAACACAGTCTGCAACTTTACAACAAAACCCAAGCCACTGTGCCTTGGGCCCTGGGATGTTTTAGGCTGGGCTCCTCACCGCATGGTGAGGCCACGCCCAGAGAGGACTCCAAGTAACTCCACATTGATCCACACAATAGACTCCTGCACGTGGATGTGGCTGTAACTACAATACAGTCTGGTGTGAACAGAGGGCCAGCCCACCATGTTTGCGGGGGAACCTTACAACTCTTTTCTTCACCTGACCCTCAGGGGCCTGTGTTCTGTGGACAAAGCACTTCTCGTTCACTCAGATGAATTATTAGCCTGCAGAGCTGAAATGGGGAACCAGAGAGAAGACCAAGGGGCAGAGAAGAAGCCCCTGGGGTCCCCCGAGACCCTCCACTGGCAGCACAGTGCAAGGCCCAGGGATTCCAGCCTTAGCCATCCTGCTGCCAAAACCACATCCACAGCCACAACTGGCTGTATGTAGTATCTACATCAAGTGTATTTTTTTGCAATTTAAAAGGGTCATGCCCTCTAATATTTTATGAGTAGCTGCTTTGTACTTGGCTCAGTGCACTGCCTTAGAGAAACAGTGATGGACAAGCCTCATTTATAAGAACATGTATTTACAAAAGTAAATCCAAACCTAGATACTTTATCACTGTCCTATTTCTAAATGATCTGTAGTGTCTTCTCTCTACCAGGCCCCACCTCGGCAAGTATGTGGATGCTGTCTGCTGGTTTATCCTGCCTGTTGGGTGGAGGGTGAGCTTTTCACCCAAGCACTTAGGGGATGTTGGGTACCCCTGAGAGACGTCTCTCCTGGGACTCCCAGATCTGCAGGACAAAGGCTCTAGGCAAACACATGCTCCACAGCCCACAGCCCATCACTGTGTACCTCCAGGGGCAGCTCCGTCCTTCTCGGTTCCTTATACTTGTACATGAAATCCAGCAGGTCTTCCTCCTCCTCGTCAGAAAACGCCAGAGGGTTCTGGACCTGGTGGGGCTCCCAGGTCTTCACACCACCCTCATGCACATCTCCCTCAACCACTTAATGTCCATTTACAATCTACACAGAGGAAACAAAGTACAGCAAGGGGGTTCAGTGTGGAGAGGAGCAAGGAAGGGCAGGAAAGGCGAGGTTAAGTGCACACACAGCACAACAAACCAGGCCTGTTAGGACAGCTGAGCCTCTGCATCTGTGTCTGAAGAAACTCTACTGGCTTTGGGGCATCCTTTGGGGAGGGGTCAGGGTTGGGCAATCAGCTGTAAGACTCACCAGGCACCATGCACAGAATCTCAGGCTCAGAATCTACCAAGCGACTACCAAGGCACATGGGGGACCGCATCCCTGGGGAAAAGCAGTTGCCTTGACTGAGATGGGTGAAACCCTTCAGCTTAGACCTGTGGCTCCACACCAAGATGACTCGGGGAAAGGATCTCTTTCAGGAAGGACAGTGGGGTTATCTCAAGGGGAGAGTGCACAATTTTCTGTATTATACCTTCAAGCAACATTGACAATGCATGACATTTGTGTATTCACAGCCATCACTTCCTATTCGCATTTTATACTAAAGTAGTCCACTCAGGTTTGTGTGTAATGCACAAACATGAACTTGCCCTGGGCTTCTGCCTCCTCTTGGCTTGAAGCTAAGAACCAAACCGACTGACCCACTCCCGCCCCAAAGGTCATCTCCAAGAACCCAGGCAGCTGCATGGCACAGGCTCTGGTCCCTTGCTGGGGCTGCTTCTCAGCAAAGAGCGCACCAAAGCTTGTCCCCAACAACGCCTGACCACGCCCACTGCAAAAGGTTTCACCACCTCCCGGGTCAGCTCCAACACTTTTAACAGACTGGATAGAAATGCTAGGGAGCCTAGGGGATAACACTGAGCAGAGCTGTGCAGATTTTCTCCTTTCAAAGGCCAGTCCTAGAAAAGAGAAGCCGGTGGAAGGAGAAACTCAGCGTAGTCCCTCCTGAGAACATGACAGCACTATTCTATTTCTGTCTGCTTTGAATAAAGCCATAGGAAAAGCTCCAGAATTAATTCCTGTCATTGAACACACGGTCCCAAGCCATGTTATCCGGCCAAGGCACCCTATCTGAGTAGACAGATAAAATATTCCCTGCCGTGTGCAGCTTATCTGACGTCCACAGAAACATCTTTCAGTGTTTCCAGTATTGTTTTTACCTAGAATCACAGAAGGTAGAGCTCAGATCATCTGGTTTCTCCTCCCTGAGCTCTGCAGATAAAAACTCAAGCTCTTCCTGGGACGCCCTGTCTGATCCTGAAAACGTGATCGGTCACCAAACATGCTTTGTCATGACCTGACAGCACCAAGTGTGGAGCAAAGCTGACAACCCTAATTTTGAACAGCTTTACCGGCTTGTGCTGCTCTACTCCACAGAAGCCAGCAGGGGGCAGCATAAGAGCGTGGAGGCCTTAAAACAGGTCTTTGAAATCAAATCTGCAGGCGGGGGCGGGATCCACTCAGACTGCGCTTTAGTTAAGGGCCTGACATCAATAATCCTTCGATTGTTTTCGCTCCCTGCTCGCTTTAGTCTGCTTACTCAATGTTTAGGCTGTTCTCTGGCCCCTGCCACGATCCTGCCTCAGCCTAACCGAAAGCAGCAGGCACTGTGGGGCTGTGGCTGGTCCTCCCTCCTCCCCCTGAGTGCCTAATTCAGGGCTGGGCACAAAGTGGCTACTCACCATTGAGTGGAACCCGTGGTCACCCCAGGGACCTCAGCTCTCACCCCAGGTCAGAGCCTAACACCTATGAACCAGGAAATTCGGCCGGACACACATACAATGGCCCCTGCCCGTCAGGAGGAGGAAGAGACAGGACAGAAGAGGCCTGCCCTCCCCCTCCCCCTCCCTGGCCGGAAACCGCATCCTTGGGGACAGGCTGGAATCTGGGCCTCTGCACTTGCACCTGCACCTGTTACTATAATTCCTGGTCCAGGGCTTTGCCTTGCACTGACTACTGCAGGCATCAGAGGCCCCCTGAGTTACTGCACAGCCCTTGGGGGTCTTCACCCATTCTGGGTGCACCGAGGCTGAGCAGTGAACTCACACATTACCGAAATAATCATCACCACCTCCAACCAAAAAATCGAAGCTCTCGTGGGTGTCCCCCCACTGCATCCCTGAGCTAGGATGACAGGATCAGAAAGAAATGACCCTCGGGCCCCCTACGAGCCACGGGGCACCAGATGCCCAGTGCAGGAATAGGAAACCAGGGCTCAGCTGAGCAGGTGCTAGGAGCCACCATGGATGCTAGCATGGGTAGCCTGGGTCAGAAGAAGGTTCAGAGGGAAGCTGCAGAGAGAGTTTCCTAAAAAGATGAAGCCCCTGGTCACTGTCCCCTCAGTATTTTGCCACTACGATCTGTAATGCTCTCAGGGCCCTCGAGAGTATTAAACCCTTTGAATAAGCCTGACCTGGCCCCCAAGCCTCAGGCTATTGCACGGTGGACACCAGTCTCTGAACTGATGGCCTCTCTGTCCTTGCAGAGGGTGCCCACACCTCGACGCCCACGCTCCGTCTTGTAACCCTCTCCCCACTGCACTAGGCAACTCCTTTCCCCCAGGCTTCATTTGTCTTACTTTGACTTACTGTGTCATGTCCACTTACACACATACCTAAGTGTTTTTTGGAATGGGTGGAGAAAAGATGAGGAATTAAACCCCAGTGAACATAAGGCTACTGAGGCAGCGCTGCCAGGACCGAGTGAGGGACTGCTGGGGAGATACACAGCGGTGCCTCCTCACTGTGCGGTCCCTGCACATCTGCATAGAATGTGTGACCCTGACAACAGGCCTGAAAGCATCTCTATCCACATCCTAGTTCCCTGAGGGCCCCAGACACAACCTGGGTGGCAGCAGAGTCTCCCACACAAGGCCAGGGCCCCAGTTCTCCCCATATTGCAGGTGATGGTAGCCAAAGCTTGGAGGCCACAGAGCTGCCACCCAGGGGCCTGAGGCTGGAGGGCTTAGGAGAGGTCAGGGGAACGTGTGTGTGTGTGTGTGTGTGTGTGTGTGTGTGTGTGTGTGTGTGTGTTAGCAACCGGTCCACACAGAGTGCAGGCTGGCCAGGGCCCCTCCTCTTTACTGGGTGGGGCGGGGAGGAGAAACAGCATCTAAGCCCTTTAAAGGCCTGAGCAGGGCCTCCTGCCCAGAGCCCTGGGCTCCACCGCCCCGCAGTGCAGCAGAACACCGCCAGGTTAGCAAACACATCACAGCACACGCCAGTGAGTCACAGAAGGCAGCACACAAGCCAGAAGAGCATGCCCGTGTGGAACACTTACATCCATGTCCCCAGCAGCCACCGAGGAGAGAGGAGAGAACACTCTGTTAGGGGAGGGTCCTCAGGGATGAAATGCACACGCGTGTGAGTGTGCCAGTGCATGCACGCGCTACGCAAGGCACACTTGCTCACTGCCCACACTTCATATCTCGGATGGCACTTCCCTCTGCCTGCTGTGCTCAGAGGAAAGAGACTGGACTTCGAGGGTCACTCGCACAAAGTGCTGCTCGTGCTCATTTATATTCATAGTCATTTTAATCCTCTCCCTCCCCATGTCTGGGATAGCTATTTTTTAAAATTATGTCCCACATCCTTAGTTTTAAAAGGAGAATCTCTAATTACAGGCAGTGACTATAAGTTCAGTTCCAAGTTCCATCAAGGTAGGTGGAGAGAAAAGAGGAGGAAGGAGGGTAGAGAGAACAGTAGAAGCACAGAAAGTGAGGCAGAGATACACGCAGGGAACAATAGGGAACCTGCCGACAGACAGGCAGGTGTGGTACAGAAGTCAGGAAGGAACGTTCTGGTGTCGGAGATGTGCAGCTTAGAACCGAGGCTCTGCCCAGCACGTGCTGCTCCCTGCAGCCTCAGCCTCTACTGTCACAGTGCACTGCCTTGTGAAATGCTCATTAGCCTCCAGGATGGCCATGTTTCCTTACCTCAGCCCCATCCTGAATTAAGACCTGCACTGACAACCCCTGGGAGATTTCCCTTTCAGTTCCAGGCCCAGGGGCTCTATGAGTTCCCAAGGACGACTTGAACCATCCTGGGATCTGGCCTGAGCAGCCCCACCGTGCAAACATCATTTCAGGTGCCCGGGATGAGAACAGCTGTGTCTCCCTAAAACCCTCTCCCAAGTCATCATTGCTCGAGAGTCGGCCTCCAGCCCCAGGTCTGAGACAAACCTCTTCCAACACCGTCTGCCACCACCTCAGAGCCCAGCACTCTTCACTACAGAAGCTGCCAGAGCCCAGAGGGCCCCATGGGCATCCAGCCAACCCTGCCACCTTCCCAAGAGGAACCTGGTTCTGGAGAGGAGGAACTGTCAGAGGGAAAGGCTGTGGTGCATGGTCACACTAGGGAACAAGGAGCAAGAGCTACAGGACACTGAGCATGAAGAGGCCCGCAGAGAGGCAGAGCCCATGAAGGGGGCCGGGGCCAAGGCTGCCACTGAGGCCCAGTGCTCTCCAAACAACCCCCCATCCCTCTGGAATAAGGAGCCGCTAATTTCGACTCTTCCGTACATGCCGCCTGCTGTGGCAGCCACCCAAAATGAAAAGCCCTGCAACCGTATGTCAGTGTCCTGGAAGGCAGCCTCTGGCTCCTGGTACCAAGGCATGTGAGGGCTTCCAGCAGTGCCAGCAGGACAGAATGGAGTGGAGGGCAGCTTTTACCCTCCCCAGTCCCCCAGGGGACAATATCCCAGAATGAGAGAAGCAAGGAGTTAGATTCAAAATGTTAAAGGGTAAACAGACAGCAGTAACCAGGCTTGGCCTGGGCCACGGGACCACATCATTACTGAGAAGTAGCCAGTCCTCTAGGCCCCAATACTAACACCTGACCCAGGAAACAGCTTCATGGGAGCCTCTGTTTTTGATGTGGGCTGGGAGACCCACAGCGACACAGGCTGGTAAGTCGCACTGGGCTAGGACTGTTTTCCAACCATGCCCTGTGCAGTGCTCCTTGGATTTATGGCTTCCAAAAACCCTGGGGTTTTCTGTAGACCTTGAACAGCTTAGCACTGAGATGCCTTAAAGAGGAAGAAACAGAGGGAAAGCAGACCTCTTCTAATGCAGTCTCAAGTCTTCATGATCGCCATCCATGTGGGAGGGACATGGCGTGCCCCAGTGGCACAGGGCACGGCAGGGCACAGGCCATCCTGGGCTTCCTCTGTTCCTCACAGCCCACGGTGACCCCTGTATCTCCCAAGCCCAAGGCAGCTCCTCCCTGGGTCACTAGGGGATGGGTTCCTCAGGTGCCCTTCTTTATCCCAAATGTGTCCAGTTGAGCTTAGGCAACAGGAGGAAGTCATGGGAACCACCATGGTCCACAGTGGCATGGCCATGCCCCCACATGCTGTCCCTCACACAGGCTGGGTGGACAGCAGCAGGGGGCCCAGTCCCAAAGTGGAAGTCCCAAACTCAGCCTCTCTCCCTGAGCTGTCCTCGTTACTTCAGGCCATAACAACAGTAACTCGTCAGAAAGCCCTTCACAGCCATTTCCACCGCAGTGAGACAGGAAAGCGGGAACCTTTATGTCTATTTTAAAATGAAGAAACTGAGCTCAGAATAGTTAGTGGTTCACACGAAGCTGCACGGCTAGTAAGTGGCAAAGCAGGACCAGGGCTCCCTTGGCTGCACCTGCATTAGAACCCTCTAGAAACACAGGGCTTTGTGACTTCAGAGGATCTTGGTAAGTTCTTGTGTTCTCACTACCCAGAACACAGGGAAGTTTGCCCCTGTCATGGCTTAAGAACACAACCTTTGAGATACTCTTCCTTTCAAGAGGCAGAGATAATACTCCTCTCCTTGAATGTGGGCTGGACTTGATAATTGGCTTCCAACAAAAAGAGCAATGCAGATGCAATGAGTGGGATTTGAAAGACGAGGTTACAAAAGCCACTGTGGTTTCCTGCCTGGCCCCTCCTAGATCGTTCTGCACTGAGCTACCTGCCATGTTGCAAGGATGCTCAAGCAGTCCAGGAGAGGCACCTATGGTAAGGACCTGAGGCCTGAGCCAAGAGCAGTGAGCGGCACCTTGCAGTGGGTCCTCCAGGATTTCTCAAGCCTTGGTGCACACAGCCTGACTGCAGCCTTCTGAAATGTCACACTGCTATCAAATTCTTAGCTAGGAACTGGAAGGCACTGTGTGCTGCTGTTAAGAAGTAGCCTCCTGCGCCCTTCAGCCAACCACGCAGCCCAAAGGGAGCCCACGGCCAGATGGCAGCTACAGGTTAGAGCCTTGGCCTGCGGCGAGCCCAGCAGGCTGCAAAGAGGCTGGCTGCTTACCTTTCCAGGTCCGGCAGGTAGAGCAGCAGGTGCACACTGTGGGAATGGGGTGGGGCACATCAGCGACATCCTCCTAGTCCTGGGTAAACATGCAGGCCCCAGGGCACTGTGGGAATCCCTGGGTGTTTGATACAGGACTCCCAGGGAAAGTGAGTCTCTTCAGAGACCTCAAGATGGGGTCTGGGTCATTTCAGATTCCACGTTTTTTCAGGTGCTATCTAGAAAATACCCTCCTGTGGCCTGCAAAGTTCAGGCCTTGAGTTTTGCAGCCTACGGGAGGGTAGGGCATAGAACAGAAGTTTCCTCTGGGAAATAGTTCCAGCACCTCACCTCCCAGAAGTCTCCTCTCCAGGTCCTCTGGTTCAGGTTTCCTCACAATGATCCCCTGAACAGAAAAATGCTTTGTGTCTCAGTGGTAGGCCAAAGCCCTAATTGGCTACTTCCTGCTTACGTTGTTGGTCCTGGCGCACAGCTGGGTAGGTAGCAGGTGTTCACTCAGTGCAGGCTGAGTGACTCCAGAACCACGGACAGCCGAGATCATTCTTTTAACTCTCTTCCTGGTGGCCAACGCTAGGTATTCAAAGTATGGTGTGTAGGCCACCCCCCATTTACTCTGCAGGCAGGGTGACACCACTTCCTGCCTGCCCTCACCCTTTGAGCCTGTGGGGGGACCCTCCTCCAGGCAGGAGGGTCCATGCAGGGACAATGCCTAGTCTGACTCTGGGTGCTGAATGTAACTCAAATGTCCAGACTCGACACGCTCCTCAGACCGCTCACAGGGGCCTCTGTGTGTCAGGTGTGTGTGCTGAGGTGGGCGGATGCAGAGTGGGCAGAAAACCTGGGTCCACCTGCTAGGAGCATACAGGCCAGTGTGACCACACAGGAGCACTTTGTGGGCCTGTTTTCCCCCTCCTTTGCTTGCTTCTTCTTTTCTTTGCTCAAGAGGCAGGGGGCTGGGTGAATCTTCCCTCTCAGCTCTCAGCAAATGGCCCCGCCCATTCTCAGGCACCCTGTCCCTTCTGATGTGCGTATGTGTGGCTTCTATCCTGACACACCACTCAAGTTCCCTTCCTCCTCAAGAGGCAGTGATTTTAAGATCTGAATGTGCACCTTTTTGTTTAGATGTGTTCTTGTAAACTCCTTGTTGTTATTGTGTATGACAGCTGCAGGTTTTTTATGTTATATAAAATCCCGTTGTGGTGTTGTACTTTTCCCAGGAGGCACCAAGCCCTCAGTATCCATCTTCTTGTCCATTTAATCTGTTGCTTCCTATGGCTGTGCTCAACTCCAGGGCTGCAGCCAGCACCTCTTACCTGTCCTCCCCTTTGCGGTCTTGAACTCATGACACCTATCCAGGGTTTGCAAATGATCTTCTTTGCTGTGGCATAATCCTAAGACATAGGCTAAATAGAGATTATTGGATCCTTGAACCAAAGGCAAAAGCTGAAGGGGACTGGGTCAGTCTCCTGTGCCAGAGTGGACTCCTCTGTGTAACCTCCTGGGGCACTGTCCTGAGAAAAGTTCCAAAGGGACCAATGTGGCATCTGTTTCACTGTATTGTACTTTCTGCATGTGTACAGGCCCAGTGTCACCTCACCAAGTCAGGCACCCAGCAGCTCCCTGCTCAATGCTTCCTCACCTGGCTACACTTGGCATCTGATGTCCTCACTGCAGCTTCCAGGGGAGGGCACAGCGGCCCTGGATGTTGGGGTTTCCTCTGACAGACTTCCTCCTTGCACCCAGACCCTCACTCAGGGCACTCTGCTGCACTCTGAGGCCTAGGTCACCTTTTACCAGTCTTTTGTTCTGAGATGGCTTTTATTTGGGGCCTCAGAGCTGCCCTGGATAATGTTTGAAGGGGAGGCTTGCTTGCCCTTCTAGGGCCTTCTCTACAGTGGCAAGATAGACGCTCAGAGGAAAAGCAACTGCAGGGCCACGAGGCCCCTTCCTGGACAAAGCAGGGTCCCTGTCTACAGCCTGACCGCTCAACTTTGGCTCGGGCCCTTCAAATGCCTGGGATCTCACTCTCTCACAACACAGCCCATTTTCTTCATGGACACTTTCAGTATCACAAAGTGCTTTCTTGGGTGTGACAAGACCAGTAATAGTAGCTACCATGTGTTGGTGCCAAGCACCACCCTAAACGCTTTTACTTAGCTTATTCCAATTGACTCCTACAGATGGTGGCCTCTTATATACAAATAAGGCACCTGCACTATAGAGAACATGAAGAGCTCACCAGCTCACAGGGCCAGGGAGCGGCTACTTTGTCCCTTGGTTCTCTCTCTGTCCTCTGGGCCACGCAGAATAGGGCCCTTCTTCCTTCCAAGTGACAGTTTTCATTTGAGACTCAGGAGACAATGAGCTGAACAAGAGTAGAGGTGACACCTGTTCGTAGGGCAGCGCCCAAAACTGGGAGGCCACATTCTGCTGCAGTCCACCTGGTGACAGTCCCCTTGCCTAAGCCCTAGTCTCTTCACTGGTACAGTCAGAAGGTTACACTGAGTGGCCCCTGAGGTCCCTCCCTTCCTGGACTTTAGGGATTCTATGCTGAGTTCCAGGGTGGGGAGGTTCCCTCAAGGGACAAGCCAGTCTTGCTGGGCATTGTGGTGCACACTTGTAATCCCAGCACTGGGGGGGCCTAGGCAAGAGGATCGTCATGAATTTGAGGCCAGCCTGGGCTACATAGTGAGTTCAAGGCCATCCTGGATTATAGTGAGACTCTCTCAAAAAGAAAAAAGAGACAAGCCCTCCCTCACCTCCATAGCCAAGTCTCTACCTTCCCAGCTCTACTGGCTTCTGGGCTTCAAACATCTCCCATTAAAATCTACATTTGTCAAACCTGAAGGAAGAGTAAAGGGTACATTCCTGAGGGAAGGAAAGGGACACTGGGGCGTGCTCAGCTATAGGTATGAGACACAGTTCTCAGGGAACCATGGGTTCCAGTCTCTCAACCCAAGATTCAGGTGGGGTCTTACAGACCTGGGGCTCAGGCCAGAGATGCCCCCTGCAGGCTGCACCTCAGAGCACAGCATCAGGGCCCAGGGGGCTGACTGAGGGCAGGGCAAAGAGCGGGCACACATCCACAGAATCCAAAGGAATGACCCAAGCCCCACCTCTCCCCCTGGGCAGCAGTCTAGCAGCATCCTCTACACCTCCACCATCAACGCTCCATGAGCAGCTGGAGTACTCAGCCTCTGAGGTCCAAGGTCCTTGTCACCTCTCCCAAGAAAGTCTGGGAACTGTGAGTCCTGGTTTCCCGCTCCTGATTCAAGTCCACAGCCTGACTTGCTGTGAGCCTTTAGGCTTCCTCTCAACAGTGTCATGCATCTAGGTTTCATTCCAGGCCTACTGGAATCTGGGGAAGGGCTCAGGATCCTGCACGTTGAACAAGGTTCCCAGATTGGCCCCACATGAGCAGCCTTGTGCCAGGCACTTGAAAATTGGAGGAGTTTGACATTGGACATAGAGGGGCAATGACCAGTGACCCTGGAACCCACAGAACTGAACCTCATAACTGGGATGGCCCTGGCTCTGTGGGGGTTGAGGTGTGTGTGGTCAGAGAAGAGAGGGAGACACAAGAGTGAGAGACAGGAAGGGAAATGGCCAGGCAGGAAAAAGGTCTGTTGGAGGTAGTCAAAACAGGAAAGGCCTCTGGAGTTGGAGCCAAAGAGGAGAACAAAGAAGGTCCCCACCATCCAGCTTCAGCTGTGCCTGCTGCCTCCAAGACCAGCCCAGGTATTGCTATTCCAGTGCCTTCCACTCTCCAGGAAGTTGGATGGAGGAGGCGGGACCCTCAGGTGCAGCATTGTTCCCAGGCCAACTTCCGGGTGTGGCCTGAGTGACACTCGGCCCCTCAGCCAGCCTGACATGGTTGACAGACATCTCTGGCAGTGGCAGGTCCATGGGCAAAGGCCAGACTGAGTGTCTCTCAATGACACCGAGGCTCCAGGGGCAGGCGGGGTGGAGGGGGAGTGAAGAGACACCTACCTGAGCTGCCAGCGCTCTCAGAAGCACTCCTGGACATCTTAGGCTGGCCGTGTTTGCTGCTGGCCCGCCCAGCCCCTGGCGGGGGAGGCCCCGCAGGAGCAGGGGCACCGTCTCCCCTGATGGTGGTGAGGTCCTGCATACTGAAGCTCCGGAGTCTCTCCGATAAGGCACCCTGTCCCTGGACACAACAAAGGAAGGCACACATGAGAGGCTGGCACAGGTTCACGCGCAGCGGTGGGGGGCAGAGGGGACGAAGATTGAGGAACCCTTGTTCTGAGGGTCGGTGAGGTGGAAGTCAAGACCGGATGTCCCTGGCGGACACGACAAGGAGATCCAGGATCCCTGCTCCCCAGGGAGCTCAGCCATTGCTGCTCTGGCTTGAGCCTTCTCCCTCAGACACCCAATGACGAGCGGGCGCCCCAAGCCAGCCAGGGCCAGGGCATCACAGCTGCCCAGCTTACTCTCTAGGGGATGTTGGCCGCTTCTCTGCCTTTAGTCAAACAAAAACCCATATATGGCTTCATTTTCCTCAGTTCTCAGTACATAAGAATCTGGTCAGAAAATCAAACACTCTGTGCTCAGTCCTAACTCTTTTCAAAGGATATAAAATGTAGTGCTTTGTAATATATGGCCGTCCTTTCTTCTATCTGTACAGCTGTTCCTGTTTATAAGACACATTTATGTTGGTACATTTGGGTTTCATAAAATACCCAAAAGGTAATAAATCAGGAAAGGAAAAATGATAATTTAAAAAAAAAATCCCTGCTGCTGATCTAACCATGTCATGTTCTCGGGAAGCCACAGAATTCATCTCGGGAGAGGACAGCACTTTTGTGGAGAAAAGCAAGGTAAATGCACTACACTCATGAAAGCGATGCTCTCGGCTGCCTGGACACTCAGCTGCTCGGGAGGTTGTGGAGGTGACCTGTCAGACAGCACAGGATTGCAGCGAAGGCCTGGGAGGCAGCGAGGCTCTGAGTGCGCCTCGGGTGGGAGAGAGACTCAGGTCTGGGGAAAGAAATCCTAAGTGTGGAACTGAGGGTGGCAGCAGGCTGGGGTCACTGAGCAAGAAGTGACAGGCGGGTAACCACCACACAAATTCGTGGACTCTGGCAGGGTCAATATGGGGTGGGGACGCAGCCTGTTCTTGGGGACTGAGGGCAGCTGTGGGGTCCACAGACACATGGGACAGCAGGAGTGGGAGAGGTATTTTGTTTGGATAATGAAAGAATGGCCCTAGGGGGCCACTGTACCTTATTGTCCCTAAGTCCCACTCTAATCAGGGGGACTTAGGGACAATAAGGCACAGTGACATAGCAGAACTGACCAATCAGCACAGAGGCAATCAGAACAGTACAAGCGGACCCAGGATGGGGTTCTGATGAAACAAGGAAGGACCCAAAGGACTTTGAAGACTTCATAGAAGGGAAGCAGGCTTGGGAGGTGCTTTTCATTTTTAATAATAATAATAATAATAGTGAAACTAGGCATGGTGGTGCATGTCTGTAATCCTAGCACTCGGGAGGCTGAGGCAGGAAGATTGTTTTGAACTCGAGACCAGCCTGGGCTACAAAGTGCACTCCAGGCTAGCCTGAACTGCATAGTGAGACCCTATCTCAAAAAGACAAAATAACAATAATAACAATAGTGAAAGTGAAGCAGCGGACCAACAAAGTATAGCAATTCACAAAAGTGAAAGCTCCAAACAGAAAAACAGTGATGCAAAAGGAGTTGGTGGGAAGGAACAAAGAAAAGGGGCTCGAAAAGGATTAGGCAGAAAGGGCAGAACGAAGCAAGGGTACATTTCGATATGAAACAGGCAAGTTCCCAACCTTCTGAAGCTATAAACCATGCCTCCAGGAAGCTAACAACAATAAGAAGAGAAAACTATTTGAATAACCATGAATATACTTAGAATTATAAACCCAGACAAAAGAGTGTTGTGAGGACATTAAATGAAAAAAGACAAAACAAACAAACAAAAAACCCTCTCATTGCCTCAGATTTCTGCTCTAGACTGATGGGGAGCAACAGTCCCAAGCCTCGCATCTAGGAAGCAACACCTGGGGGCTCCTGGCCAAGAAAATGAGGGCTGGATTGGCCACCTGCTATCTCCCTTGCAAATCCAGAAGCCAGAGATCCAGGGTTATTTTACTCAGCAACATTTTAAATGACATCTAGAATTTAGTTATTGTGGTGCTAGGCACTGAACCCTGGTGGATACTACCCGTGAGCTACACACCCAGGCTGACGTCTAGAATTTGGAAGAACAAACGATGAGGCTGAAAAGTGTGAGAAAGCAAGTCTGGTGATTACAATTGAGGAGCCGAATGTGAGGTTAACAATCAGGCAAACTAGTCACTGGCATACTCTTCGTTCGCCTTCCCACTTACCCATTAATCTGCTCAACAATGATTTATCAGGTACTTGCTGTGGGCAACACACAGAGTAGGGAGGGGACCGCAAAAACATCGCTCAATTTCTGACAAAATATAAAAAGACAACAGGACAAAGGACAAAACAGAGGTGCCACCCCGGAAGCTATAGAACATAAGGATAAGAACTGTGGCTCTCAAGTCGGGCCTGGATCCGCACTCCAGATCATTTGTATTCAGAAGGACCAGGAGGCTTTCATGACCCCAAGGCCAGATGCATGGTCAGGGCCTAGCCCCACCGGTGTAGCTTACCAGTCCTTGCCAGGCCCCTGAGGAAGCTGCAGGGGCATCGTGTACACCCGCGTTAGCCAAGGGCTGCGTTTCACTCGCCGAAGCCGGCCAGCCCAGCTCCAATATCACAAGCATCAGGAAGGCTGGGAGTGGCAGGGGTTAGGAAAGAGGAGACAATAATAGCTCGGTTCCCATCTAGGCCTGTGTCAGAGTCAATCACAGTGGCATGGGAATAAGAGCCTTGCAAACAAATTAGCTCTTTGCTGTCAAAATAATCGGAGATGTTTAAAAGCAATATGTCTCTCTCATTTGTAAACCTCTCAGCCATGTTCAGCCTCTACTCGAAAGCTTACTGTCTTTTAGTTCCCACAAACCTCAATCTACCCTGACACTTCAGCTCTGCTCGGGAGAACCTTGGTTTTCTTATTCTGGATCACTATCTTCTGGAACAACCAAAAGTTATCCCTACTTTGGGAAAATAAATATGGATTAGACTCCCTAAATTTGGAAAGATTTCATACTCTCTGTTCAAATTAATAAGCCACGCTATAGTATTCAAAGCACTGAGAAGTCCTGGTTATTTAATTCAGTGTATCCCAAATGTATTTGACCACAATGAGATACGCTCAGATGACCATCCAAAGTCATCCCCAGTTCTATTTTTGAAGTGATGAGGGGAAAAAAAAAATAAAACTAGATTTCCCAACCTTCCTTGCAGCCACAGAAGGCCTTAGTTGCAATTCTGGCTAAAGGGACGTATGAGGAAATCTGTTGAGAGACTTCTGGAAAAGTTACTTTCTTGATGTATAGGAGGAGAAAGACCTGACCTCACTCTCTGCTTCCTGTGTGGTTCGGAGGCCTTGAGCTGACCACTGGTGAGCAAGAGGACAAGAGCCTTGGTGTCACCAGGTTGCTGGAATAATGACGCCTCCCACCTAGCCTGAGACTTCTTGTAAGTGATGTTGGCCAGGTCCCAGACACATTTTTTTTTTTTTTACCTCCACAACTGGGGTGATCCTACAACTGTTGCCACCTCTACACACACACTGTCATCCCTGTCCACACATGAATGCACTTGGCTGTCATTCCCCACATCATGGCTGGGCAATGGATTCCCCTGATTGCATAGGGCAAGCACTTAAAGAACCACCGGAGAAGGATGATGAGTCCTGCTTAACTAACACACATTCCATAGAACCTTCTGGTACAACCAAGAAAGTGGCAGCCTCAGAACTGACAGGATGGGTTTCAGCAGCTTAAACGAAAGTTTAATAGAAATAGCTCCCCATCATCAAAGCATGAAAAGAAACAAGATAATGAAACAGCATGGTCGTAAGTGGTTAAGCTGAACTGAAAAGTGATTCAGAAGACCACCCTTTGGTGAACAATGAAATTAGGAGGACTTTAAGCCATTTATCGTGCTTTTATGCCTCATATGTGTGTACTAAAGTGACACACACATAAAACTATTAAGTTTTTTCAATGAGAAGAAGTAAACACTGTGACCTATTTTCATGGCCAACATCTTTTTTCTTAGTGGTACTTAACAGAATGATATGATCCCAGTATTCTGGCAGGCTGAGGCAGGAGAATCATAAGTCTTAGCCCAGCCTGGAAAACTTACAAAGACCCTTGTCTCAAAAAATTTTAAAAAGGGCTGGGGAGATGCAGTTCAATGCAGAGACCTTGGGTTCAATCCCCAGCATCAGTTTACAGACAATTATTTCTTAGAAACCTCAGCATTTAGACTCAATTAAATATGATTGCACAGCTCCGAGTAGCTTTCTCTAACCATCCCAACTCCCTTAAGTATACTCTCAGTGCGGCCTGTGCATCTTTATTGAGCTCCATAGTTATATGTAGCTGTTGGCACTGTCTGTTGTTCGCAAATTGTTTCCTTACTGTCACTGCCTGGGATCTACCATTCCACTAGAGGCTCAAAGAGTTGAATAGGTGAACCCATCACCAACCACCTCAGCTGCCTGAGAACAGTGGCAAGAGGTCTTCACCCCACCCCATCCCCGGATGCCTCACCAGAGGAGACCCAGACCTGAGGGAGCTTCCCACTGAATGGGGTCTTGGGACGTGTCCAATAGGAATACATAAGAAGTGTCAGAGGGGTACAGGGAACTGAGGGCAGAAGGTACACACGTGCAAGGCAAGGTATCCTAGGGAAGACAGACTGCCCTTGAGCTGGCCTTGGAATGTCTGGTGGGTGAAGTTGGAGACCAGGTGAAAAGGGAAGTGAATTTCTTAGTATTTGTCTCATTCTGCTCCAGAGCGCGTTTCTGCAACTTAGGGAGCCGTGGAGCTGGGGTACAATCATACTGTGCTAGGATCTGTTCCCAGGGCCTGCCTTCTGGGAGTGTCCTGGAAGGCAGGAGCAGAGGTAAGCCTTATTCTTCACTATACACCCTCTCTTGTCCTTTCAGAACTCTGCACCAGGACCACATATTACCTTTAAGAAATCAAGGCAATATAATTAATCAGTAATACTACAACATTTTGAAAGTCACCTCGAAGATTCCATTGGGTGAATACAGGGGTTGCATGATGCTGACAAAGGCCAAGTAGACCAAAAAATGACACTGGGACTATTTTCAAAAAATTCAAACAGAGGGCTGGAGAGATGGCTCAGTGGTCTAAAGCACCTACTTGAAACAAGCTTGGCAAAGCACAAGGACCGCGGTTCAATCCTCCAGCACCACATGCCAGCCAGCCCCGCCCCCTGGTGGGCTGAGCTGGCCACACACACACACACAATAAATAAATGTAATAAATAAATAAAATAAATATTAAAAAAAATTCAAACAGAATAGAGAGCGAAGACATGGAACTTCTGGAAATAGAAATCAATGAAGCCCTCTTCCCAGAGGGACCCACCAAGTCACAGAAAGGGTCAGCAGGGCATGAAGCTTAGCTCACTCTGCACACTGTCTAATGCCTGCTGCTGATGACAACGAGAGTAAAGGCAGGAGGTTTTAGTAAGTGAGGCCACTGATAACAAAGCCACCAGCATCACCGCTGTCCCCCGGTGATCTATAGAGTTAGTAGACCGGTCTCAGCCCCTCCACGTCCCAAGCTCACTGGCAGCTACCTCTACGGCCACACATGCTCCACACCAAGGCCAGGCAGGCTCCTTATCATCATGCTGAATAGGACGGGGGCCGTGCTTGCAGCATGGAATTGGGTTAAGAAACAAAGCTAAGAGAAAGGTAAGAGTTTCTACCATGACAGCACTGACAACCAAATTCAACTCATTCTCCAGGCATTAAAGAAAGGAACAAATCCAACTGAGTTAATCACATGTTAGATGCCATCAAATGAGCAGGCCAGGAGGTTCTGGAAGGCTGAGGGGGTGGGAACCACCCCCCACGCTCACACACAGGTGCCAAGCGGGAGACACCTGCCTCTGATCCACACCCAGGGCTGGGGGGCGGAGGAGGCTGCCTGGCCTCTCCACCAGACTGGATCAGTTTGGAGTTAGTCACGCCTCTCAACGGGGTTACCTGCCCTTCTCTGAGGTCCAAAGAGGAGGCAAAATGAAAGAGTCGAGCCACCTGATAAAGGGAGAAGGGGACAAAAGAGAACAAATTGTGGACACTGAGCCAGTAACATGGGGACAAATGAGTCATGTCACCCTCACATCTTGCCTTTACTCCCTAACTCACACATTTATTTATTCACTCAACAAACCCAAGGAAATGCTCACAGAGTTCTGCATGACATCCTGCAGGAGAACAGAGACGAGTGTAGCCTGGTTGCTGATTTGGTCAAGCTCACAGTCTGGCTGGGTCACCAAAACGAAAATGTATATAAGGCAACAAGTGACAAAGATGACACAGTGCACAACAGTTCCAGTGCGGAGACAGCACTGTTGGCTGAATAGGCAGAGGAGGCCTTGCAGGAGCAAGGGGCAGCTCATGGCGGGCAGTGAGGGACACAGGCCATGGTGTAAGAGTGGGAAATTTTAGGTATGCTTGGGAAAGTGCCACTTTGGTGGAAAAACTAGGGGTCGTTGACAAAAACCAAAACCAAACAAATAAACAACAGTTCGTCACAGTTTTTGAGTAATGAGTAATATGAAAAGAACAGGACGTTAGGAGAAGATTCTAGATGCATTTTGTGGCACACACTGAGAACTGGGTAGTCTTCTCGGTTAGCAGCAGAGAGCACACCTCTCTCCCTGAGGCGCCTTCCCTGGAAGACAGGGCAACACCAGCACTAAGTGGTGGGGGACGCTGGCCTGATGTGTCTGGGCTGGAGCAGGCTGGTGAGGCACCCCAGAGGCTGCTGCGGCGGCGCCGTGAGGTGAGGTGGCTGTGCTGAACGGTGAAGCACTCAGAGGTCAGATCTGGGCCCCAGGCCGGCCTGGTCATCTGAGTCAGGTGTCAGCCCAGAGAAGGGGTTTTAGGGTGACTAGGACATGTCCTCCATTCACAGCAGCTGCAGAGGTCAGGACAGCGTCTCTGCTGGAAGCTCGGCTGCGCAGCATTTGCTCCTGCAGAGCAAAGGCCCAAGAAGAGGGTCATGTGGTACAGAGCCTTCTTCCTGGGGGAAGCGGGGTGCACGAGAGACCCTGCTGCAAAGGGACAATGAGAAAGCAGGAAAAAAACTAGGGCTGGAAGAGCACAAGACAAGTCTGTGAAGAGTGGGGCCACGGTCATACTCACAGGCACGGGCACCTCCATGTTATCTCATGTGATAAAGCTTCAAAGAAACTGTATTTTTTCTGTGTTCTGATAAAACTTTATTTATAAAACAGTTCATGGGCCAGAGGTAGCCCACAGGATCATATAGCAACTGTAATTTATGGTACTTGTGGTATCCGCCTTGCTTCAACTCTCGGTGGCATTAGCTAGCAGTCTCTTGCATGTATGAATTAATGGCTCTTCTGTACTCCCAGAGGTGTTTGCTCCAAAGTGGTCAAACAAGCAGGGGACAGCTGTACAGGACCCTGGGCTGTGGCCAACTCTAAAACGCTCAGTGGCAGACAGCTGTCTCTCTGGGGCTCTGCATGATCTTTGAAGCCTGGATGTATAACTGAAGTAAAGAATGGACAGGAAGGTTCTGCCAGTGTGTGTTGGGGGGCTGCGGGGTGCTTGGAGTGATGCAAGGAGCATTGGATGGGAACCCAAGAGCCTCACTCTGAAGTCAGCTTGCAAGGGACAGCTGTGTGACCCGGGGCAAGCTACTCAACAGCTGGGCTCAGCTTCCTGCACACAGTGAGGGTCCAGCCCCCCTAGGACCTTCCTTCTCTCCTGGAGGTGGGAGCAGGCACTCACTTCTTTAACCCTGAGAACCCCACACTGCAGGACTGCAGAGGAGGAAGAACTGTGGGGAAAATCAGCAACGAGGAACTGGGAGCCCGGGGTGAGGAGTGGCTCGCCCAGCCAGTCAGGGCCCACGTGAGGGGGACGAGACAAGAGCAGGAAACAGCCTCCTTTCCTGAAGAGAGAGAGCGCTGGTAAAGCCTCGCAGCGCCAGCACCTCACTTGTTTTATTTCTGTTCAACAGTGAAAAGAGCATAATCACCTTTAGAGAGCAAATCAAAGTAGGACTAGAATAAGTGACTTTTATGCAATATTTATTGTGAGCTGTTTTGTGTGTGTGTGTGTGTGTGTGTGTATGTATATGTGTGTGCACGTGCATGTGCATATGTGTACTGAGGATTGAACCTAGGGCCTTGTGCATGGTAGGCAAGTGTTCTACCACTGAGCTAAATCCCTCAGCCCTTTATTATTATTATTATTATTATTATTCGGGGGGGCAGGGTCTCACTAAATTGTCCAGTCTGGCCTTGAACTTGCAATCCTCCTGCCTCAGTCTCCACAGCAGCTGGGATTACAGGCCTGTACTACCACACCTGGCTTCAGTAAATTCTTTATGTGCATCACTTGAGAACTACTGTGTGGCAGGCACAGCTGCCATCTCTGTGTTGTAGTGAGAGCTGAGGAGCCACGGAAAGAAGCAGGGCTAGGACTGCGCAGCACGTCTGCCCATCTCCAAAGGCCGCGCTTAGCACAGGCTTGACGCTAAGTGTTTCTCTACCAGCACAGCAATTACAGATGCGACCTCCAGGCCTTTAACACTCATTGAGCACATACCGGGGACACATACGACATAAATATAAACAGCAACAGCAGAATGCCATCGGAAGGCCAAGGAGTGAGGAGCCAGGTCCATCTGGGATCAGAGAAGGCTTCAGGGAGGAGGCAGCAATCGACCTCGAGAGTGGGCAGGATTCCAAGGAGGTCAAAGCAGAGCCCAGTGAAAGATAAACAAGAGCCAAGGCAGAAGCAGGAAAGAGACATTTCCATACACGATACTCAGAATTGCTATTTCCATAGCAGTAAGAAAGTGGTACTGCAGGCACAGTGCCTGGAGAGCTGGAAAGGGAGGGAGAGACGAGACTGGAAAGCTGGGATTGGGAAGGGAGAAGAGTGGGTAATGCTTGCACAGCTACTGGAAGAGTCTAAGCTAGAAGGGATGTTGGGGGTGAAGAAGGCCTGGGAGGAGGAACGAGATGTGACATAGTCAGGGCTTGAGTAAGAGTGGAAAATGTGGAGACTGGGAGAACGCAGAGTCATGGCCTGAGCACCTGAAAGGATGGAGGTCTTCTCAGTATCAGAAGGTGTGACAGCTAGCCACGGTGGCACCAGCCTAGGAGGGGAGGGGAGGGGAGGGGAAGGGAAGGGAGAGAATTGTACAAGAGGGGCAGATTGGGAATTAGGGGAGTGTTGAGTGAAGATACCAAGACGACAGAGGAAGACATGTTTTGCAGAGAAGCAGGAATGAGGGGCATGAGCCCCCGGCAGAGCCCAGATGATGGAATCAGGCATATGAGGAGACACGTGAGAAAAGGGTGAGATGGAGCTGGAAGGGAGAGCAGCACGAGGTGGAGTCCAGGGAATCCACCCACCACGACGGGCAAGGAGAGGAGGAAAGGAGCGAGCACGAGAGATGTCAGAAGCAAGAAGCTGCTGTGGCCCCACAACCAGGAAAGCTTCTGCCGCCCCTGTGTGGTCCTCAGAACTTTCTTCAGATCTTCTTGGTCCCACCAAGCTCCTCCCTGAGGTCGGGAGCTAACTCAGGCTCACTCATCTCCACAGCTGAGCACGGGGCAGAGTGGGTGAGGAGCCCCAGACCAGCGACTCCATGTGTATCCTGGTCTCCCGGGAACTCCAGCTGCTGTGACGTTGGGTTTTCTGTCTGAATCCATCTAATCCCGCCCAGTGTATGGAGGCAGCACTCTACGCGGACCCCAGGCAGACCCAATCAAGAATGGCACAGAATGATGAAGGTGAGTGTGGGAAACCACGCTGGTGAAAAGTCTTCCTCAGTTCTGCTTAGACATATTTTGAAAAGCGAAGCCAGGATATGAGCAGTTGCTTGGGAGACCAGAGCGCAACTTTACTTCCCCACCTTTTCAGCGGGTTGTCCATCACCCTTGCATCATCTTGCTATTTAAAACTGTTTGCTGTGATGAATTCTAATGGTTAGAATTAGATCTCACAGTCTCACTGGAACAGAAGTAAAAATGGCTGACTGGACTTACCTAACGGGTGGCCAGGAAGGGTCCCCTGAGGGCAGAGGGACAAGCACTGGCTTCTGGAGTCCTTAGCCCCATAGATTCAGGAAACATAGGGAGTAAAGCCAGAGAAGGGAGACACTCATCTCCTCTCTGTCCTCAGAAATGGAAATAATTCTCAAACATCTTAATCAGGGAGGTATTATTGTAATCACCATTTGGTGGTGCTGGGGATTAAACCTGGAGCCCCACACATGCTAGGCAAGTGCTGTGCCCCTGAGCGACCTCCTCATCCTTCCATCACAGGAGGCTCTATAAGTAAAAACCAAAACAAAACAACAATATTTATCTTACTGACAATAAATTATAAACAGGTAGGGTTTTGCTAGAAAGACAACAAAGACAAGGCAATGCCTCCAGTCAGGCTAGATCTGCAAAGTTAGTGTCAGATTGGAGACTGTTTTCCTTCTGATTGGAGTCACTGGCCAGGAAACAGGGAGCATGGAGGAGCAGAGACAGCCCAGTGACCAGGAACCCTAGATAGAAGGCACGTCACTTCCGGGGGGCAGGAAGAGAGACCTTGAGAACTTGCAAAGGTGGGATAGAGGTAAACCGCCCTGGGGAGAAATTTCTGGTGCCTAATATTTTTGCTTTAGTTTTTCCAGTTCTAAAATAAAATAGTAATAGTAATAAGAATTTATCATTTCGAGATAGCTCAGCACACTCAGCGCCTGCTTTGGCAAGCACAGGGACCAGGGTTCGATCTCCAGTCCTGCATGCTGTACCGGCCCTACTACCAGGGCATGCTGAGCCCATGACCGAGTCCAAGTGTGGTTGCACATGCCTATAATCTCAGCACTGGGGAGGCTGAAAATAGGAGGATCACTACAAGTCCAAGCTGTGTAGTGAGACCCTACACCAAATACATAAAAAATGAAAGAAAAAAAAAAGAACTTATATATTTGACCATATTAGGGAGTGGGAACACATACTTCTAATCTTAGCTACCCAAAAGCCTGGGACAGGAGGATCGCAAGTTTGAGGCCAGTCTGGGCTATTTAACCAGAACCTGTAAAATTTTTAAAGGGCTGAGGATGTATCACTTATTAGCACATATAAGTGCTCCCACTTATTAGGGAAGGAGGCTCAGGAATCAATAGCATTTTTAAAAGATTATTAGTGCGGTCCTTCCATTTAAGCTCTGTACTATCTCCCTGAGCATCATCAAAGGATGGAAAAGCAAGCAGAAGAGTGAGGGAGGAATGACTCCTTGATTACGACAGCTTCTAGAAGAATCTACAGCTCCACTATCAGACAAACAAGTGCCACATAATATTTTCCTCAACAACGGACGCCCATACAATAGTATAGACCATCCAGCCTCGGCATGCTGAAGGTGGTACCACGTGGGCTGTGCACAGCCACTCGGATGCTCCCACAGGGACACACGCCCCTAAGGACACTTTTCTCAGAACGTGTCTCCCCTTGCCAAGGGAGGCGTGAGTGTGCTTTTCAGTCAGCATTTAGTTTCAGGGCAATGCACACATAAACCACTGCCTTTCCTACTTTCAAGACTTGGCTTCGAAGGAGCTAAATCTGCATTCCAGGAAAGGTACTGAAACTAATGGCTTAAGCCCTAACAATCTGTGTTAGCTGTGGATGGGGCCTCAGGCAGTGATCTGTACAGAACTGGCCATTTAAAAATCACCTGGGAAACTTGTTAAAAAATAAAGATCCATGGGCTTGCTGCCTGAGATTCTGATTTAGCACATTGGAGAATCTATTAAAAATCGAAAAACAAAGCCTCTCAGGTGGTTTGGGCTCAAAAGTCAGATTTGGACCCACTGGCCAGTCATCATCCTCTGACCCTGCCTGATGCAATCATCTGTTGCTATGGAAACCACTGATGCACACACCATCAGCCTGGCTAAATAGTTTGGATTTCACTAAGTTTTTTTTTTTTTTTTTTTTTTAATAGTACAAATCTATTTCAAAAGTAAATGGCATTAGTTTTAGAAAGGATTTTTTTGGCCTTTAGATATTTAGAGGAGAAAAGAAAGCTCCTACAAAGCAGAAAATTTTCTCATCTGAAACCAAATACAACAGAAAGCAGATGGCCCTTGCTACTTTAGCCCAAATGGAAGAACTAATGAGCTGTTATTTCCTGAGGTGAGTTTCAGACTGTCTGAAGCTTCCTCTGGGTTTTGGCTGTTTTAAGGTGCCTGGCTGGTGAAGCCTTAGCCCCATGGGCTTTCCCAGGAGTGGAGGGGAGCCCGCAGTGACAGGCCAGGATGACACCAAGGCTCTGGAGGCTCCAACTTGAGGCTGTCCTGGGAAAGGACCATCCTGCCCAAGTGACAGGGAGAATGAACTTCTGCACACATGCATGCTGACCGGCGAGGTGACCCATACTGCACCCAGATAATCACACCATGTTTAAAGTCTCTGACACAACTGAGGAATTCATCTTCCTTTGGGGCTCAGAGGCAGCGAAGATAGAGTAGAAAGAGGGACACAGAGCTGCCAAGAATCACTTCCAGGTCAGCCAGGCCTTAGAGGGCTTCCTACTGTGACATCCCAGGGAGACTTTGACAAGGAACTCTGCACACCTCAAAGCACAGGAAACACACCAGTGTGTTGACTTTCAGACAAGACAGAGGCCAAATGCTTTATGTAGTTTTATGTTGTACAGGTGGCCCTACTTAGAATGTAATGATTTTTTCTTTCCACTTAAAAAAAATCATACAATGGTTGCATGGGAAATAGAAGATTCTTGGGGTTCACTGCTCTTTGTAAATGCTGACAGACCTTCTCAGGAAACCACAGTGGAATCTCCCTCCCAGATACACTCTGGGATCTGGCACTTGGCCAACAGCTCTTACACCAAGGTGGACAGGGACCTGCAGATCCCAGCTGTATCGAGCCGTGGACACTTCCCTATGGTTCTCTGTGGCAGAGGGGGCTGGAACAGAATAATTCCCTTGTTTCTTCTCCCCTCTCTCCCTGTCTCTGCCTGCAGCACTTCCTGACTTCCAGCAGAAGTGCTGTGGAGAGAACCACGCAGCCCTGTGTGAGGAGTCCTTCTAGAAATGCTCCCGGCATGCATCTCTCTGACTTAGAGCACAGGAACACAGCTTGGTCCCCTGTCCCAGCTGGCTTTCAGCACCCTCCATCCCACATCCACTCAAAGCCCATGGGGCACCCAGATCTACATCAATCGTCATCTTCCAAGTCCTTCCACAGCTCTACCACTGTTGTCCCCAAGCCCTGGCATTGCCACCCAGGACTTACCACTTTGCCACTAGGCCTGACCCTCCAATTATTGTGTCCACCCAGTATAACTGCCTTCTTCTACTCTCAGCTGACTGCAGCCCATCACCCTACTTCTGGGTTCCTGGGTGGGGGGAGTCACAAGGGACACTAGTGCAGTATGCTGTGAATTTATTCTAGAGGAAATGTTTGACCAGTTTAATTGTTCAAGCCTGTGGATATAAATAGAAACTGACAATGGCAAAGACAGAATGGTGTGAGAAGAAGCTAAGGACAAACTCAGAGGACTTCTGAAAAGGGCTAGATAGAGAAAAGAAGGAACTACTGACATGATAGCCCAAAGACCAACAAGTTTATTTCAAACTTCCACTACCCTTACCTAGAGCTTTGCGTATCCTTCTTCATGTTGGAACTGCTTTACTCACTCTGCGGCCCTGGGTCCCTTCCTGTGTGTGTCTACCCACTCACTCAGGTGACCTTTCTACTCATTCATTTTGAGTTTAGGTGACTCTCCCAATGCACTATGGGAAACTTGAGAGAGATGCCCTCTTCTCCCTCCACTTCCTTCTGTACCTCTTAGGTCTCTGCTCCAGGTAGCTTACAGGTTTTTAGCCTGGGACCCATAAGGCAGCTGCAGGGGCTGTGGGACCCTCTTGGCACACATACTTTTTTAAAAAAAATATTTATTTATTTATTTGGTACAGGATTTCTCTATGCAGCTCAGACTTGTAGTGGTCCTCCTGTCTCAGCCTCCCCAGTGCTGGGATTACAGGCATGCACAACTACACCAAGGGTTATGGGTCCAGCACAGCATGTGGTACCTGGGACTGAACGTGGGTCCTTGCGCTTGCCAGGCAGACACTTAGACTGCTGAGCTATCTCCCCAGCCCTTTGGTGCACATAGTGTGTGTGTGTGTGTGTGTGTGTGTGTGTGTGTGACAGAGAGAGACAGAAGGGAATGAATATGAATGTTCTGGGGCAAGATTCATCATTTTTTCCATAAGGTTTTCAAAGAGACCCCCAAAGATAAGGAGCCACTGAGTGGCCCCTAGACTGACCCCTAGACTGACCCCTGTGAGTTGCTGAGGTGACATGCAGGGTGCGCTGGAGGGAGGGAGACACCCACACAGCTGTGGAAGTCAGGGCCCGGCCGCCTACCTTGGAAGCAGCCATCACAGCCGCTGTGGCCGCCACGTTCAAGCCCCGCTTCCCGAAGTGCACAAGGGCATCATAACTCCGGTCTTTTGCTTGGACCAGGCAATCATCGATTTCCTGTCAAAAGAACAGCACAGGCACACTGAGTTGGCAGGTTCTGTGTTCTCTTTCCCTTCTCCCGAGTGCTGTCCTTGGCAGCTGGCCTAATCACTGATTCCCACTGAAAAGTCACAGACATGTGGAGTATGTGTGTAGACAGGTGGGTGGAGAAAAGCAGAAGAGATATGAGGGGAAATGGCAAAGGGACTTTTGAAAAAGCAGCAAGTGAAAGACCCAGCAGCAAGGCCTGGCAGTATTTCTACGAGCCTCTAACTCCCAAAGAAGAGGGATAATCCTGTCACTGCACACAGGATTACACAATTGCTCTGTAAGACACTGACAGAACTTAGGGCTGAGAGAAATGCCAAGAATCGAGCTTCTAGCCTCAGGCCTGTCATAAACTGGCTGTCACACCTTGGCACTCTTGGCCACTTTACAGTTTTGTCTTCCAGATCATGAGGATAATGATGATCCAAGTTGTAGCATATGGTGAGGATTAGCTGAGGTAAGTCCAGGAAAGCACCTCACACAATGGGCAGTTTCAGTCAGTGACAACCATTGCCACCTTCCTGGTCCTCTAGGCCTGAGGCTCTTGGAGTTCTAAAGTTCAGTTATTCTATAACTATTTAATTCTATAATCAAATATTAGTCCACATATATATCAGTGGTAGAGGGTAGAATGCAGAAAGAATTGGCCATTAGTTTTGTTGACAAAGGAGATCATTCAACAGATACTGAAATAAAATTAGAAATCACCCAGAATCATACAACAAGGTAAAGATGAGGAAGAAACACAAGATTGAGGTTGACCTCCAGGCTAAAACCAAGCACAATATTGGCCTAATTCAACTGGGATCAAATCTGGTTTATTCTATTTGTTTGGGGTTGTTTTGTTGTCCTCATCCTTTTGAGATAGTGGCTGTACTTCACAGCTACACGTAGCTCATTTTAGAGTCTAGGGAGAAAAAAGCATGTGGCCTCTGTCTTGTCTGAAGGTCAGCACACTGGTGCGTTTCCTGTGCTTTGAGGTGTGCAGAGTTCCCTGTCAAGGTCTCCCTGGGAAGTCACAGTAGGAAGCCCTCTAAGGCCTGGCTGACCCGGAAGTGATTCTTGGCAGCTCTCAAGAAGGATCGTGTCCACCTCCATAGAAGTTACAGTGATGGCTTCATGGGGGTCCAGCACAGGGGACAAGGGAGGGAAGAAGAGCAAGATGTGACAACCAGGTCAAGACAGAGGTCTATGCTCTAGCTCCACACTATGAGGCAGAGCGCTGTGGGAAATGTCTCCAACAGCCTGTTCCTCTAACTACTTGGCTCTCCACAGTCTTCTCCTGGAGGAAGTCAAAGGTTTTGAACTTTCAGAAATGGTAGACATTGCTATACATGGCCACTTATAGCATCCTCGTTTTATTTTGAAGAATTCTGCTATGTGATCAAAACAGAAAAGAATGTAGTTGATGTATTATATAAGGTTGAAATCATTTGACACAGTCATTGACTCTTGGAAATTTATTCTAAGATAATCAAAGGAAAGAACTAAATTCCATACAGGATGGTGTTTGCTGAAGAATTACCTACAACAGAAAAAAAAAAATGTAGATAATCTAAATAGCAGCAAGGTCACTATGGTCTTTCTTTTAAGCCATTATGAAGACCAAGTAGAAAGGATTATGCACAAATACATTTAGGAATACAGATTTTTATTTATTTTTTAGATTTTGTGATTTATGTCAAATTTTTAAAATTTTTTAAATTGATTTTGAGACAGGGTCTCACTATACGGGTCAGTTCAGGTTGCCTTAAACTCACTAGGTAGCCCAGGCTAACCTCAAACTCAAGGCAATCCTCCTGCCTCAGCCTCCTAAGTGCTGAGATTATAGGCATGTACCACCACACCTAGCTATGTCAAAGTTTTAAAGTACTTTTTTAAAAAGATCCTAGGTAGCCAAATTTGGTGGCATATGCCTGTAATTCCAGCATTCAGAGAGTGCTGAGGTAGGAGGATTTTAAGTTTGAGGCTAGCCTAGGCTGTATAGTGAGTTCAAGGCCAGCTTAGCTACACAGTGAAACACTGCATCAACGAACAACAACAAAAAACAATGCACATAATACACATTAGAAAAGATTCTATGTAAAATTTTAAATGATCTTTATAAAAATCATTTCTATAAAAAGGTAGGGGCTAAGGATGATAAAAGGAAGGAAATTCAGTTTGGGAAATTAAATTGTGAGTGAATTTTTTTTCTTTGTTCAAATATATGTATATATCTCACTACTATTTCTAAAAAAAAATACATTATGTCCAAAAAATACAGTTAAAAGTGCCTGAGGGCCAGGCATAATGAAACATGACAGCTAACGCACTTCCCAGCTATTAGGAAGAGGGGACCGAGAGGATTGTAAATTCAAGTTAGTGAGACTTTACCTCAGAATTTAAAAAAAGCTCTGGGATGCAGCACAGCATTCCCGAGGTTCAATCCTCAGTGTCACAAAGAACGGAGCTGGGGACAGATCTCCGTAACAGAGTTTGCACACAGCATGTGTGAGACCCAGCACCATTAAAAGAAAAAAAAAAAAAACAAACTAGAAGCTCCAACGTGTTGAGATAAGAAAAGCCAATCAAGGGTCTCTTGTCATAAATAATCTGTTATTTATCACTTTTAAAAAAAATCTTTCACCTGCTGTGTGGAATGAAAGGCAAAGCCACACAAATTACCTTTTCTTTTGAAGACAGCGTGGGATGTACAAACTTCCTGTACAGGAGGCTGGAGCCTTTTGTGTAGGGAGACAGCAGCCAGGCTACAAATGCTATTTTTAGTTCATAATAGAATGGAAACCTGGAGAGATAAGAAAACACGTGTCCCATTAGCTCCTTAGCAACTCTGCCGCGGCTCCACGAAGGACGAGACCCAGACTTGGCCTCCTCTCCTGTGCACGCCCCGCTGCAGGGCTCCTAGCTTCCCCCTCCGTCCAGCAGGGCCAGGTGTGCCCGGGCACTCGCCAGCACTCGCGTAGCGCAGCTGCGGCTTCTCCTGGAGGCTCGGCCCATCAGGCACCCCGAGGCCCCGGCAGCAGCTTGCTGGCCCAGCAGGCTGGGCTCTTGGAGGTTGATGTGTGGTTCCAGCTGCCGCCTGCAGGCCCGGAAGGGCAGGTCCCTGCTGCCACCCAGTTGTTCACCTGTTCCCTGTGGCCAGGAGCACGAATGCTTGGAGGGCTCCCACCGGGTGGAACTGATACGCCATTTCTAGTCTGATAGTAACACCTGGCCCTTCCTGGCTCTTTTTGGCCTAAATAGAGATACGGACATGAGATCAACTCTTGCCCAAAGGAGAATGCTCTTCACCCTACTCAAGTCAGTGCTGGCCAAGTACATCTTGACATTTTTGCTGCCAAAAGAAAGAGGAACGCAGAGTGCAGGTAACATCTGATTCTGAAGTCCTATGCACCCTTGAGCCCAATCATTTCTTTGTGCCAGGAACATTTTCCCAGCACCTGAATATGCCAGCTCGTGCCAGGTGCAGGCAGGTAACAATGAGCCAGGAAACCCCATCCTCTTCCTTCTTGGAGTGCCCCGAAACAGACAAGATTCTGACATCCCTGAACCTAGGGGACCAGTTAGAGAAACAAGAGATTGACACAATAATTACACCCAGGTCCTGGGGACATAGCTCAGTGGCATAAGCACCTGCCCAACAGGCTATAGGTCCTGAGTTTGATGCCCAGTACCAAAAATAAAAAATAATCACACCCACCCAGAACAGCAACCTGACTCTCCAGTCCCCAACCTGCTTGCCAGCAGAAGCATCACTCTCAGCAGGGAACCGAGGCAGCACCAAAACTGTCACTGGCAGACACAGGTTGTCATATAGAAGGTAAGACTGAGCAGGGCATTCTGCAGGTCCCTGGGTATCAGCAGACATCTGGAGCTGCTGGAAAATTTACACTGCATGCTTCAAGGGCTTTGCCTGCTGAGGTGCCAACTGTGAGAGAATTCTGACCACAGATGTTCATTAAAATCTTCCTGCCTAACATTCCCTGCCTTCTTCAATCCTTATAAAAGGGACCTGCTTTTCTCTGGCTCCTATAGATGGCCTTATTGCTCTCTGTCTGCCTGCATCCACACATCCAAATTCCATGCCACATTACCTTCGCACAGGTCCGGTAGTCTCTGCTGGCCTCCCCACCTCGCACTGTGTGTTATAAGAACAGTGTTTTGTGTGTATTTGACTCCCCCAAAGCCTCATGCAATCATGGCAGACTAGAGTTTGTGATTAACTCGTGATCTACTGGGATTATGGGTGTGAGTACTGTTGGGATTATGGGTGTGAGTACTGCTGGGATTATGGGTGTGAGTACTACTCCCAGCCTGTGGCGGATAGCCTGAATGCAACTTAAGAGAGACAGACCTGCTCTCTGTGGCCGTTTCTGCTGCTGCTGCTCCATTTTGCTCTCTGTTCTTTGCTGCAGCCATGAAAGGTCGCCTTCTGCCATGTGCTGCTCTGCCTTGGAGCCAGCTGAGTATGGACTGAAATCTCCAGCGACTATGGGCTAAATAAATCCTTCCTTCCTTCCTTCATTTTGGGTATCAGGTATTTGTCCCAGCAATGAGAGAAGAGTAACTGAGACAGTGCCCTAGTGGGGCTGTACTGGCACACAGAGGGTCTTTGCACACACTTCAGAGTCAGCCCCCTCAACTAGATGCTGCGCTACATGCACATAGCTCGGCAAGCAGAACTGGCTCTGAATTCTAGTGCGCACACCTCCTCAGTCAACTGGGGCCGGGGAAATAGCTCAGTAGAATAAGCGCTTGCCTGGCAAGCACAAGGGCCTGAGTTCAATCCCCGGTTCCAGGAAAAAAAACAACAACAAAAAAAACAGAAACCTCCTCAGCCAACTGAGCCAATTCCTCAGGACAGAAAGAACTTACCCACAAGGCCGGCTTTCCCACACAAACCTACCAGTCCAGAGCCCACACCCCAGCCACCTTCTCTGCTGAGGTCTCACATTAAAGGCCACTGTGCAAGTGTTCCAATCACCCCAGGACCAGGACCAGAACCAGACAGTCACAGAGAGCCACAGACAGCCCTTGTATCCCAGAGCCCTCAGAATTACCCAGACCAGCCAACCCCAAGCCCACTAACCCTGCCTTACCCACTCCTGGTGCAAACCCCACTAAAGCCTTTTGGTCCATTTCCTCCCTCTGCCTCCTGACCCTGGGGCTCCCTTGAGGCCTTGCACGCTGTGGCAGTTGCTTCTGGTTTCTAGGAATCTGCAGATTTAACAAACCTCTTCCATTTCTGTTTTTTTAAGACAGTCCCACTATATAGTTCAGGCTGGTCCTGAATTCACTACATAGCCCAGGCTGTCCTTGAACTTACAGTGGTCCTCCTGCCTCAGCCTCCCAAGTGTCAGGAATACAGACATCCCCCCATACACCAGGCTTAATTTCTTCCTTCTTGATAAGTGTTTCTATGGCTGCATGCCTTTCCACACATGATTTGAAAAAAAAAAACAAAAAACCTAGGGTATCCTTAAAACATGATGCTACGGGTTGGGATATAGCTCAGCGGCACAGTGCTTGCCTGGCAAGTGCAAAGCCCTGAGTTCGATTCCCCATCCTCCGCCAAAAACAAAACAAAACAAAACAAAACAAAACAAAACAAAACAAAACATGATGCTATGAGAGAAAAGGCCACCTGTGCGTGTCTGAGAAATCAGAAAAGTTAATCCTGCCCAGATAAAGAGCCAGAAATGAAAAGGAGCAATGTCTAGCAAGCCAACTCCAGGCCCTTTAATGCTCACACAGCCCCTCAATCAGACCACCTCCTTCTTTCCTCAGGAAGGTCTCAGCCTTCTGCTTCTGGCTCGCCCATCCTCTGTGGTTTCTCAGCAGCCAAGGGGCACTTGTGGTGGCAAGACTGTTTAATGTTTCACAGGCAGAAAGGAGCCAGGCTGAGAGAGCAGTAGCGTGGTGCTCCCACAGGGAAACACTGGTGATTAATGATGGAGGAACTTTTGTTTTGAAAACAACTATTTGTCAGTCCTGAGGGGAAAGCAAATGAGCCTGGCAAGCTCAGAAACCAGCATAAGATACACCGAGGATCCCAAGGGCATCTGCCATGCTGCAGTGCTTTTATTTATTATGTAAAAGAGGTATTTTTTATTAAAAAAAAATAGGTCATGCATGCACATAGTTCTTAAAAATGCATACAGCAGTCTCCCTCCCACCCCTGACCTTTGGTCCCTTTTCTATTATCAGCTGCTGGCGCACGCTTCCAGCATGGACTGGAGCCAGGCGCACACAATCGTGCCGATGCATACAACTCGCTTAACTGCCCTCCAGAGACGCAGCGGCATTCTGTACGCCCCCTCTCACCCTCGCTCCCCCAACACACACAATCCGCACTGTGCCTCAGGGACCGTCTCACACCAGCGCACAGAGCTGCTTCCTCTCTTTATGGCTCACGTGGGTGTGCAGGCATCTCCCTGGGTCCATGAATATTCATGAGGGGAACAATCTTTGGCATCTAGGCTGAGCTGCACAAGAACCTCTTAGTATGTTTCTCTACACACATGTGCAAATGCAACCGCAGAATAAATGCCCCAGGAGTAGAAATTCCGTGTGCACTTTCAATATAGACAGAGGTGGCCCCTCCATGCAAGCATGAATAAGAGACACTGAGTCCTTGAAGCCAGGCCCTCACAGGGACAGCCCACTGTTAAGAGCCTCTGCCCCAGGCTGTGCCAGGAGGGCTGTGAGATGCATTTGCATATTCAGCCTGAGTCGTCCTTCAGGTCGCCCAGGCCCCCTTTCCTCTCTGGCAGGTCTGCCCCCATCATCCTATTCCCTGAGCTCCTTTCAGTGCACCCTGTCCAGGCTAATGGGAAAATCTTCCTTCCTGCCAATCTTCTGGGTTCATCTCTTCAGCTATGTCTTATCAGACACACAGAGCAGCTCTGGTGACAAATTCAGAGGGCAGACCTCATTTAGAGTGACCTGCAGACCTGCCTGTTGGGTGCCATCCGCAAGTTGCTCTGGACTGGATAGGAGAGTGCTGCTCCCTGCTCCCCTGTTCCTCCAGGACAGAAGGAGCTTACACCGAAGGCATTTCAGGTAAGGGATGTTAACCCTTGTGATAGGAGAATCACAAAAGAATTGATTTGTTCCTTGTGTTGAAGGTGGCAAAAATATCAGCGCATTAAAAAAAAAAAAAAAATGCCATCAGAGCCTGCTAATTTCTAGGCTTTCCAAAACTTTGGTTAAAAATAGGCTCCCCCTCCCAGAATGGAGGATTGAACCCATAGGCTTCACACAGAGTTATATCTCCAGCCCTTTTCTAGTTTTAGCTTTGAAAGAGTATTATGGTTCATATATGGATATCCCCCCAAAGCGTCATGAAGAGGCGGCACTTTTGGGAAGGTGACTGGATTATGGGGGTCATACAGCTGACCTGGCATCAGGAGGTGGGGTTCAGTGTGCAGAGGCAGGCTTCTGGGGATGCTCTCAAGGTTTACGTCCCTTCTTGGCTCTTCCCTTCACTCTCTGTGTCCTGGCCACCCAAGGAAGACCCTTCAACTATGCCACGCCTGCATGCAGCCAGCTGGCCATGCAGGGATTGAAACATCTAAAATTGAACCAAAATAAACTTCTCCTCCTTTGTCTATTTTGAGACAGAGTTTCGCTGTGCAGCTCAGGCTGTCCTTGCGCTCACTCTGGGACTGCAGGCGTGTGCCACCACACCTGGCTTCTAAACCTCTCCTTTTAGTTGTAAGTGTTGGGTATTTTGTTCCAGCAACAAGGAAAGAGAGTAAGACAGAGAGGATCTTGCTAAATTCCCCAGGCTGGGCTTGAACTTGTGATCTCCCTGACTCAGCCTGACTCAGTGCTGGGATTACAAATGAGTGGCATCTCTGGCAAAAATAGGATCCTTTTGAATGGCTTTTAAAAGCAAAACCAGAATTTCCTACCATTAGCAGTCACTACATTTTCTTACTATTTCTTTCCTCTTGCTTTCTTTTTTTTCTCCCTTGCCTACTCTTACATACATGGATTATTGATCCATTCATTGTTTATTGATTAATCAATTCATTCTGTTGGGAAATCCTACTGAAGAACTACAAATTAAAAAGATACATGATGAATACTGTAGGGGCACCCACGTCGGGTTGGATACACCCTCGCCTTACCGTATTTGTCACACAGGAGGAAAGGTTTATATCGAATCTGGGGAAGCAAGAGAAGATGTGAAGGAGGGAGTGGGGGGAGGGAGACATGCACATACACCTGAGAAACAAGAATGTCACTGTTCAGTCACCAGCACCAAAGAAGAGAGGGCAGAGGAGATGGGCACCACCTACTTTGGCACAGAAGGAAGGATGAGATGCAGGAAGAGAGATGGATGTGCTTCAGCATCTGCGCCTCACTGGCGGTAGGAATACCCTGGGTCACTTTCTCCCCAGTGCTACTGAGGGATACAGCTCTGACTGGGCACCAGGTGCCTGCACAGAACCGGCACACAGCAGGTTCTAAAGCGTGCATGTACAAGACACCTCTTGGGCCCCATTTTCCGCAGTGTCCCTTTCTTTAGGCCATACTGGTGCTGCTTATGCTAAGTGGTCTCTAGATCACAGCTGAGTACTTAGTGCCCCGAAGGAAGCATCAAGTCATATGTGCTAAGCAATTTCTAGGTGGGAAGCCGACAGCTTCAGCATAAACAGTACTGAGGGGTCAGCTGGCAATGGGAAGAAGCAGAGTCCTTAAGCTTCCGTGGGATGAGGTCCTGAGGTGTCTTACTGCTTCCCTTCCAGAGTTTAATTTTTTAGCTTTTCTTTCCTCTCCATGAGCTACTCTTACATCCCAACCTCATTGCTTTCTCTTCTTTTCCTTCAGTTGATCAGAGACAATATCTATTGTTTGCTAGAAAGGATCCAGAAGCCCCAATAACCCATGGTCCACAGGCCAAACCCAATTATTTGTTTTTTTTAATAAATAAAGTTTTATTAGAACACTGCCACACTCACTTGCTTCTTATTATCTATAGCTGTTTCCATGCTGCACTAGCAGACGAGCTGCAATAATGATTTCATGGTCTTGAGAGCTCAAAATATTTACTATTTGGGCCTTGACAGTGTGTTGATGCTTGGTTTAAAGCCATTTCCTCTATTGAAAGCCCCTAAATCTCTCTTCCCAAAGGAAAGGAAAGTCCTATGTCTTAGATCAGGCTTTGTCAGGGTTCTGACGATGCTCTAAATTGAACCACTCAGATATGGGTTTCCTATAGGTCTTGGGACCTCATGGCTTTCCCAATACAAGCCACAAATGAAGTCTGCTTCTAGCCCACCTAATCATCCCAGGCTTCACCTAAGGGGTGGCGAAGGGCCCTACTCATTCCACAGTAAGACACCCTCAAAGAACCATGAGCTCTAGAAATTTCCTATGGGGAAAGGGCCCAGCCATCCCACATTTTCTCCATAGGTTCCCAGACACATGCACAGCACTGGGGAACCCAGGGAAGTTGTGGCGCCCCCACCTTGACAATATAACACCTCAACATTCTGGAGGGAGACCGGTCTTAAGAGTTGGTCACAGGATGAAAATACAAGTTACCTTCCACAGTGGTACCTCTAGCAATGGGAAGCGTACTACAAAGATCACTTACTCACCCCAACCCTAAGCCTGATGGCACTTCCGGCTAAGGGGACCAGGTGAGGGAAAAGCAAGGTATTCACCCATGTCAGAGGTCAGGAAGACAAGGAGATTCGACTTGTATCTGAAGAACACCTTTTACCAATTTATGAGACATACTTCAAATCACCTGCATCTGTGGCCTGAGGCATGGTATGAGGCTTCCGCCCCTTCGCTCCATTCCCCTCACACTAGGCCAAAGCACCCTGTAAGTGGCCCAATTCCTGGAGTACTTACCAGCAAAGGAAGATGTCTGTGAATGTCTCTGCTGTGGTGAAAAGTGCAAATATAATCCAGTACATCATCCACTTGACCTATTAAAGGAGAAAGCACAGAGCTAGTGCGAAAAATCAAGGACAAGTGGCTGCCTGACATCAAGTGGCACAGGCCTGGACAGCAGGTGCTGAGGCAGATTCCAGAAAGTGCTACCCACACTCTTTCTCACGCCTTGGGGCTGACAGCAATTGGGCTGTTTTACAAATGGTCAAACTTAAGGTCAAATCGCACCCTGGATAGCTTCTCACAGCCCTCAATGAGCAAGGGAGAGCTGCAGACCAAGAGTGACACAAGATTGAGTGATGTCATTTTCCTAGGACTAACATCAGAGGAGTAAATGCTCCAAGCCTCCTCTACACAGACACACCATGGGGGGATGACCTTTCACCAGGTCAGGCTCTGGGATGAAATGGCCACCATCTTCACAGTCACTTGCTTGTGAGAAGCCCCAGCATTACTGGGAGGAGAAAGCTTTCGTTACGTTTCTTTTATGTGACCCTCCTCTTCCATTCTATTGCCTCCCTTTCATGTGCCATTTCTCTTGAGCCATTGCAATGATCTCCTAATTGCTTCCTGTGTCTCCCAGTCTCCCCCTCAGCCACTTATCTTACAGGTCAGTGATGGAGAATCTTCTAGAGCTTTCAGTGGTACGAACAGCCTGCTTTGGCGCACATGCCAAAGGTTCATGACCACTGCTATAGGTCATCCCCATTCTACTCTCCCCGAAGTATGAGGTCATCAGACTACCATTCCCCCACTTCAAATCTTCCAGAATACAGAATAAAGTTCAGATTCTTTAGTGTATTCCTTCCACTTCCAGTAATGGTGGAACAGCTTGTACGTGAGTAACTCTGCTCCTGGTAACAGGGAAATCTCAACAAAATCTTTCAAAACAACCATTTGAAGGCATTAGAGAGAGCAATGAAATGCAGATAGAGACCAGAAGGGACTTGACCCTTATTTGCCTAAAAAACTAGAGAATGAATTTTGACACTTTCAGAGTTGCCAGAAGTTGGGAGAGGGAAAAAAATCCTAGCAAGAAGGAAACTTAGCAGAGCAGGCCCACCATGTCCTGTCTACATTAGAACTACAGCCTCATCTTGGTCTCTAGATCTCTCCCCTTCCCAATCTGTCCTTCTTATTCCAGTCAAAATGATCTTATTTCAAATGCAATGAGCTCTTTCTTAGCTTAACGTCTTCCATAATTCCCTGTTGTTAAAGATAAAACCTAAATTCCCTAAATTGGCTTTCAAAGCCTTGCATGAACCAGCCTTTAATTGTCCCCATCAAAGTGACCTCCACATAACTATGCTCTCCCATTTTCCACCCCAGCTATAATGAACCACTTTCAATTTCCTGAACAGAGAGTGTCTTCTTTTGTCTCCAGATTTTAGACCTTAGATCTCAGCCAAAATCAACATCACTTCCTCAGCAAATGACCAACGAAGTTCGGGTGAATGTGGAGGGCAATTTGGACAACTCCCTGAAAGAAGAGCAATTGTCTCCAATTGGCTAAGCCTGATCCTGTTGCCATGTATTGATATGTACACAGCTGGCTAGGACTTTTCCTTATCCCTTCAATTGGCCTTAAGCCATGCGTATCAGTGTAGCCACGATGCTGGTGGTAGTCTTTGAAGACAGCAGGCCTGTTTCCTGTAACTCCCACCTGCTGCTCCCTAGCGTGAGATGGGAAGAGATGGGATTAAAGAGCCAATGCTCCACATTGTCCGCTGGCATGGAGCCTCAGGATAGAAGCTAGGATTTCCTGGGGCTTGAAAGATTACACATCAGAGCGGAAGCATGGGACCCCAAAACACTAGATACCATCTCAATTATGTAATGCAGATCACTCTTTCTGCTTATCTTTCTCTCTGCATATTGCAGAGGTGATTTCAGGCCTCCTACGTAGCCCAGCTCGCACACTCGCCTACCTCCTGCCACTCTCACAGTCACTCATCTGCAAGCCACTCCTTTGTTCATGAGTGAATAAAACCCAGGTTGGGGCCTTTGTTCTGGATAGCTGTGATCATGGCTGGACTTAGAACCCTTTGCCTACCCAAAACTATAAAGATGCTTTAGTGTTTTTATTCTTGCTATGGGCTGAACTGGTTGTGGTAGCTTGGAATTAACTCAACAGGACTCAACTTATCCATGGGATTGTAAGTATAAGCTTCCTGTACTGAGATGAGGACCAGAAAGGGCTCTCTATAGTAATTCTCAGCTCCTTCTCTTCCCCTTGCAGTGTTACACGTGGTCCATACCCTAACACCTACCACATTGCTTTATTTATTTATTTGTTTATTAATTAGCAGAATAGATTTATTGGGGGAAAGAAAGCTACTGTGCAAGAGAGGGACAGGAGGGGGCCCTGAGGGGGTTGTCCCCTACCATACTTTAAAGGGGCCTGTTTACTCTTCTGTTTATGCTCCATTAATCTCTAGGACCCAGAACAGTTCCTTGCACACACTCAGCACTGAATGAACACGTCCAGAATGACTGCACTAGAATGTTGGCATGATGATTGGGAAGGGAAAGATGATTTCAAAAGGACCAAGAAGAAATATACTTTGGAACTACAGTCTGGGTGGCTTTAAGAAGAAAACAACGTTGCACAGATACGGGAAGAAAGGCTGTAGCCGAAGCTGGAGCGCAGGCAACTGGTGGTTATGGGGCTACTCAAGTAAAAGAAAGTCCTGTGTGCCACTTTGGGCCCGCCCTGGGGAGCAAGTCCAGGTGCGGTAACACATGCATGCCTGTAATCCCAGCACTGGGGAGGCTGAAAATAGGAGGATCACTACCAAGTCTGAGCTACGTAGTGAGACCCTGTACCAAATACATAAATGGAAAAAAAAAAAAGAAGAAGAAAGAAAGAACTAATTTAGGAAGAAGAGACTGGGCCCCATAAGGGCAGCCCGAGAGCCACAGGGAACACCCAAAGAAGAAGGCCCAAGATCCAAGGAAAAAGGCCTTGGGGTGGGGGAGGAAGGGGCTGCAGACCGGTGAGGGAGCCATGGCAGAGATGCAGCCTGAAGCACCAGGCTAAAGACATTTCTATCTCGTACTCCTTTACTTTAAAATACTTTCACCCTAAAAAAGGAGCTGAGAATGACTCATGGAGCCTAAGAAGGGAAATGGAAGCCTGGCAACTTGGAGACAGAAACCATATTCATCTGAAATTACCAGGAAATGTTTTTCACCGGCAGGCCTTAGAGAAACCAAATGACAGCTATTTTTGCCAAGGTTTGAAATAGCACATCCAAGTTTGAGGAATTCTGTTCAAATTGCAGGGGGTGGGGGGGAAGGAGGAGGAGGAGGAAGAGGAGAAGGAGGAGCACAGTGCTTTCCATGAGAATTAAGAGGGAAAGTGGGAGCTAGGACTGACCTGAGAGGTCGAGTCCAGCAGCAGCTATGGAATGGAAAGCTGCGAACAGCCTGGGAAGTCCCTCTGGACCGGGCAGGGGTGGGATCCTAGAGCGAGGAAATAGGAGAGGCTGTGACCTTTGGCCACAGCTTCAGTATTCAGAGTTGGGGGTGGGGATGGACCTGGAGGCTGTCTGTGGACCTCAGTGGCTCCCAGGCTCCTCAGTCCATTAGACCCTGCCCCTGGGGCTTGTACAGCCTGTGAAAGCCCCACTATGCGCTGTGGGTGCAGCAGGCTGAGCTACACTGCAGCTTCATGACCCTCTCCGCCCCTCCTCTAACCAGGCACACGGAAATTTCTCAAGCCTCTCACACTCCTCGCACACCTGGCCTCGCTTCAGACTCAGAGACTTCTCGGTTCCCAGTGACTGAGAAAGAAAAACTCTGAGCCTGGTTTGCAGAGGACTGCATCAGCTGCAGGCAAGAGCACAGCGGACAGCTGGTAATATGGCTGGGTTGCCTGGGAGAGAGAGGAGGAGGAGCAGGCAGTCCCTAGGCAGTGTGCTTTGTCTAGGAGAAAGGCGCTCAGTAACACATTTACACTGCCACCAGGTGTAGTAACCACATTTACCTGTTTCTGTACTCTTGATGCCCTGGCACCTGAAGGGGACATCACTGACAGGAGACTGACATTTGTCCCAGGGCGGCCAGTTCCTAGGGATGACACGATTGCCCCTACCCCTGCAGGAGCGCCCCATGCAGGTGCAAACCAGCCAGTCCAAGACTACAGCTCCTTCTTTGTGGGGCTGTCCAGGTTGAGCCAATATTCTTCCCCAGCCATGATGTCCCCGGCCAAGTACCAGAGGCAAGCAGCTGCTAGGGGAGGCTAGAACCTGCTGAAATTATTCAAACCAGCCAATCCCAAATCTGCCTTCCTGCTGTCTCTTTACCTTTCCCACACAGCAAGGGCTGTTGCCCGCACTCTGCCTCCTGGTTGGCTCTAGCATTTCCCGCAGGGCCCCACTTCTGGGGAGCTCTGAACACAAACCGCCCTTCCTGTAATTTTCATTGTTTGTGCCTGACCTCTCTTGAGTAGAACAAACCCCAGAAACTCCTGGCAAAGGTAGGACAGATGATGAGGTTTGCATAAGGGATGGGGCAGAGAGTGTGTGGAGATGGCCTGGGAATGATGCCAGTGAGCCCAGAGCACCAAGGCTTTGTGGTGCATGCTCAACCTTGCCAAAGGTCTCACAGCAGAGGGGACTCACAGTAACCAGGAGGATGAGACAACGGGGCTGTGGATGTCAGCCAGCTTCTTTCTTCAGGCTTAACAGAGCGTATTTAATCAGCCTGCGCACCAAGTGGCCATGTGGAAGTGGCAGGGACAGCACAAGGGCTCAGCCAGGTGGAATCCCTCTCACAAATACTGACCTGGCCCTGGCAGCCCATCAGAGCCCAAGCTGCCAGCAGCAGCCACCAAGCCTGTCCAAGATGGTACCATAACTCCAGGCATGACACCGGGCCCTTCTCTAACAGATGGTTCTTCTCTGGATTATGCATTGGCCGGCATGTGGACTTGCTTTTTCCTATTCCCTGGATTCTTGCAGCCACGCAGCGAGCTGAAGACTCAGGGATGAGTGCTCTCATCTTGGTGCCTCTCATGCTACGCTGCTTCTCG